TTTTCTGACACATGTGAGTCCAGACCAAAGACAAGTCCTGGTTTAGTCCTGGTTTAGACCTAGGGTAGACCTGGTTTAGACCTGGTTTAGACCTGGTTCAGACCTGGTTTAGACCTGGTTCAGACCTGGGGTAGTCCTGGTGTTTAGACCTAGGGTAGACCTGGTTCAGTCCTGGTTTAGACCTAGGCTAGACCTGGTTTAGACCTAGGGTAGACCTGGTTTAGTCCTGGTTCAGTCCTGGTTCAGTCCTGGTTTAGACCTAGGCTAGACATGGTTTAGACCTAGGGTAGACCTGGTTCAGTCCTGGTTCAGTCCTGGTTCAGTCCTGGTTTAGTCCTGGTTCGGACCTGGTTCAGTCCTGGTTTAGTCCTGGTTTAGTCTTGATTCAGACCTGGTTCAGTCCTGTTTCAGTCCTGGTTTAGACCTGGTTTAGACCTGGTTTAGACCTGGTTTAGTCCTGGTTTAGTCCTGGTTTAGTCCTGGTTCAGACCTGGTTCAGTCCTGGTTTAGTCCTGGTTTAGTCCTGGTTCAGTCCTGGTTTAGTCCTTGCTGACCCTTCTGTGTGTTCTTGGCGTGTGCTGAAGTGTCTGATGAAGAGGAGCTAGAGCCGACCTCCACAAAGGCCCAGAAAAACAAACGGACCAAGAGGATAGATGGTGAGTACAACTGATCCTGGTTTAGTCCTGGTTTAGTCCTGGTTTAGTCCTGGTTTAGTCCTGGTTTAGTCCTGGTTTAGTCCTGGTTTAGTCCTGGTTTAGACCTGGTTTAGACCTGGTTTAGACCTGGTTTAGTCCTGGTTCAGTCCTGGTGTTTAGACCTGGTTTAGACCTGGTTCAGTCCTGGTCCAGTCCTGGTTTAGACCTGGTTTAGACCTGGTTTAGTCCTGGTTCAGTCCTGGTGTTTAGACCTGGTTTAGACCTGGTTCAGTCCTGGTTCAGTCCTGGTGTTTAGACCTAGGGTAGACCTGGTTTAGTCCTGGTTCAGTCCTGGTGTTTAGACCTAGGGTAGACCTGGTTTAGACCTGGTTTAGACCTGGTTTAGTCCTGGTTCAGTCCTGGTGTTTAGACCTGGTTTAGACCTGGTTCAGTCCTGGTCCAGTCCTGGTTTAGACCTGGTTTAGACCTGGTTTAGACCTGGTTTAGTCCTGGTTTAGTCCTGGTTTAGTCCTGGTTCAGTCCTGGTGTTTAGACCTGGTTTAGACCTGGTTCAGTCCTGGTTCAGTCCTGGTGTTTAGACCTAGGGTAGACCTGGTTTAGTCCTGGTTTAGGGTTTAGGCCTGGTTTAGGCCTGGTTTAGACCTGGTTCAGTCCTGGTTCAGTCCTGGTTTAGTCCTGGTTTAGACCTAGGCTAGACCTGGTTTAGACCTGGTTTAGTCCTGGTTTAGTCTTGGTTCAGACCTGGTTCAGACCTGGTTCAGACCTGGTTCAGACCTGGTTTAGTCCTGGTTTAGTCCTGTTTCAGTCCTTTTTTAGACCTGGTTTAGACCTGGTTTAGTCCTGGTTTAGTCCTGGTTCAGACCTGGTTCAGACCTGGTTTAGTCCTGGTTCAGTCCTGGTTCAGACCTGGTTCATACCTGGTTTAGTCCTGGTTTAGTCCTGGTTTAGTCCTGGTTTAGTCCTGGTTCAGACCTGGTTTAGTCCTGGTTCAGTCCTGGTTTAGTCCTTGCTGACCCTTCTGTGTGTTCTTAGCGTGTGCTGAAGTGTCTGATGAAGAGGAGCTAGAGCCGACCTCCACAAAGGCCCAGAAAAACAAACTGACCAAGAGGATAGATGGTGAGTACAACTGATCCTGGTTTAGTCCTGGTTTAGACGTGGTTTAGACCTGGTTTAGACCTGGTTTAGGCCTGGTTCAGTCCTGGTTCAGTCCTGGTTCAGTCCTGGTTCAGTCCTTGTTTAGTCCTGGTTCAGTCCTGGTTTAGTCCTGGTTTAGTCCTGGTTCAGTCCTGTTTCAGTCCTGGTTTAGACCTGGTTCAGTCCTGGTTCAGTCCTGGTTTAGTCCTGGTTTAGTCCTGGTTTAGTCCTGTTTCAGACCTGGTTCAGGCCTGGTTTAGGCCTGGTTTAGGCCTGGTTTAGGCCTGGTTTAGTCCTGGTTCAGTCCTGGTTTAGACCTGGTTTAGACCTGGTTTAGACCTGATTTAGACCTGGTTTAGTCCTGGTTTAGTCCTGGTTTAGTCCTGGTTCAGTCCTGGTTTAGACCTGGTCCAGACCTGGTCATCAGGATAAACATGTCTTTATGTGTCTTATTGTCTCCATCAGAAGCTTCTAGAAACCCAAAGAAACCCTGGAGTGAGGAGGAGAGCCGTGGAGAAGAGGATGGGGAAGTACATGGCTCTGTGTGCTGTGCCTCACACAGGAGTCTGCAGCCCTCATCAACAGAACCTGGAAGGACCTCAAGTACTTTGTGTATAATACTATTATCCGACTCAAGAGGCAGCTTGTGTAGCTGGTATTTGTGTCAAACTCATTCCCAAAGCGCCGCAGTGGCTGCAGGTTTTCCATCAGACCAAGCAGGAGCAGAGCAGACTCCTCCCATTTCCTCAGTGAGTTCAGTCTTAACCTGAAGGTTTGAGGAAATGGGAGGAGTCTGCTCTGCTCCTGCTTGGTCTGATGGAAAACCTGCAGCCACTGCGGCGCTTTAGGAATGAGTTTGACCGCCCTGCTTTAATGTTAAGTGCACAGTTATGTTTTAAAGTCCGTTCAAGAGCACTTTGTATTAGGTCCTTTGTAATTGTCCTGTTGGGACAAGTCAAAATACAAAGATGCAAATAAACCTGTCTTTCAAATGTTTTGCTTTGTTTTATTAAAATTGCTGTGATCCCACATAATAATCTGTGTCCATTTGCACATGTGACCAACTATATAATTCTAAATAAACCTTCAAAGAGTTAAAAAAAGGTCTATTCATGATTTCTTTTGCAAATTTCACTTATTGTCCCCACTCTGATGGTTCAAAACGTTTTCTTAAATCTTGGTTTTAACATTTTTTCAATGGAGTGTATAGCTCCGCAGCGCCATCAAGTGTCTAGAAAGTGTTTTTTCTTCCTCCTAAAACATTTGGAAAGGCAAGTCCTCAGTTTTCATGTTTTTAACTACGACCTCACTAGTGTTTGCGGGAATGTGTGTGTTTGTGTGTGTGTGTTCTGGCGAATAGAGACTGATTCTTGAATGTCTGAAGTGTTATTGCAATAGCACCACACTGAGAGCGAGGGTCAGGGCAGATAGTAACATATGTGTGCACGTGTGTGTGTGCGCGCCCCGGACACGAGTGCACACACACACACACTTCAGCAACGAGCGTACGAGCGCTGAGAAATGAATGAATGAGAATGAAAAGTGTGGAGCAAAGTGATCGGAGGCAGGGAAGTTACAAGTGTGTGTGTGTGTGTGTGCGTGTGTTCTGGTGATTAAATAAAGACTGATTCTTTAATGTCTGAAGTGTTACTGCGATAGCACCACTGAGAGCAGGGTCAGGACAGAGGGAGTTATACTCGTAGGAAACGCTTTTCTTTGGCCTTGCAGCCACACACTCCCTGTGCCCCTCGGTCTGGGGCTTATATGAAAGGTTTAACAGAAGCGGAGAATATAAGAAAGTGCAGGAGAGACGTGTGTGAAAATGCGTGTAACAGGAAGACGTGTAATGTGACGCAAGATAATCAGATATTAGGACCGACATCACACACATCAGGTCTGAGTGAGATATTAGGACCTATAACACACACATCAGGTCTGAGTGAGATATTAGGACCTATAACACACACATCAGGTCTGAGTGAGATATTAGGACCTATAACACACACATCAGGTCTGAGTGAGATATCAGGACCTACAACACACACATCAGGTCTGAGTGAGATATCAGGACCTACAACACACACATTAGGTCTGAGTGAGATATTAGGACCTATAACACACACATCAGGTCTGAGTGAGATATTAGGACCTACAACACACACATCAGGTCTGAGTGATATATTAGGACCTACAACACACACATCAGGTCTGAGTGAGATATTAGGACCTACAACACACACATCAGGTCTGAGTGAGATATTAGGACCTACAACACACACATCAGGTCTGAGTGAGATATTAGGACCTATAACACACACATCAGGTCTGAGTGATATATTAGGACCTACAACACACACATCAGGTCTGAGTGAGATATTAGGACCTACAACACACACATCAGGTCTGAGTGAGATATTAGGACCTACAACACACACATCAGGTCTGAGTGAGATATTAGGACTTATAACACACACGTCAGGTCTGAGTGAGATATTAGGACCTACAACACACACATCAGGTCTGAGTGAGATAATAGGACCTACAACACACACATCAGGTCTGAGTGAGATATTAGGACCTACAACACACACATCAGGTCTGAGTGAGATATCAGGACCTGCAACACACACATCAGGTCTGAGTGAGATATTAGGACCTACAACACACACATCAGTTCTGAGTGAGATTTTAGGACCTACAACACACACATCAGGTCTGAGTGAGATATTAGGACCTACAACACACACATCAGGTCTGAGTGAGATATTAGGACCTACAACACACACATCAGGTCTGAGTGACATATTAGGACCTACAGTATAACAAGCACTTCAGGTCTGAGTGAAATATTTATCAAACGTTATTCCTTTCACGGAGAGTAACTCTGTAGATGGACAAATACATTATAACTTTAATGTAGAATTATTTATTTTTATACATTGTGTTTGTAATTTTTGACACCTCACTTTTATATTTGTTTTTGATGTTTTAAATTCTAATTTAAACATGATTTTCCAACTGGAGTTAAGACAATTTTTCAGGGAGATAATCTACTGACACAAGGAGAACATGCAAGCCCCACCCCAAAAGGCCCCTTCTGGCTGAAAGTTTTTTTCTTTTCTTTTTTTTTACAAACACACACTCACTACTCAAGTATCTTTTTAAATTACCATGAGTCAATATTTTGGCTATTCTACCCACCTCTGGGAATGTATTTAAGTTTGTGACAAAATAGGTGACATATGAGGACAAGTGTGTGTGTGTTAAAAGTGTGTTAAGGTAGTACCGTGCACGACCAGAGAGGCGCTTCAAACTTTTTGGGACGGAGTGTTTCGGCCCCGACACACATTTTCACTATTTGTAGACATTTTGGGACATGCTTGATTTTTGGTGTGGAGCTTGTTCTGGGCCTCTACAACACTGTAGTATGCATGGAAAAATGGGGACCTGAAAAAAGTCCTCACATTTCCTCAGGTCCTGATATTGAAGGTGTGTTATCATACAAAAGTCCTCATATGTCCACAAAACAAACGCACACACACACACACACACACACACACACACACACATATACACAAGTGTAAAGTCATATCAGGTAAAATAGGTAAAACAATAAAAAGAAATGGGGCTGGGAGCAGATGTAACCGGCTGAAGAAGCGTCATCCAAGGAGCCATCCGCACCAGGAGCAGAGAGCCGGCTGCAGCCACAGGCAACGACACAGGACCCAGAGGAGAGAGGGGCCCCAGACCCCACCAGGCCCAGGACTCAGACCCCATAGGACCCAGAGGAGAGAGGAGGCCCCAGACCCCCACCGGATCCAAGAGCCAGTCCCCCGAAGCCACAGCAGACCCCAGCTCTCAGTGCAGAGGGCTCCTCGAGTTCTAACTCATCATTCAACAAAATGCACAAGCCAGTACTTTTCCACAGCATGTTTTGATTTCTGAAGGCTAAGCTACTGGCATCGCGGGGAAAGCTGATTGGACGGTGTTCATTCCTCCGCTGTATATTATCACTTGCAGTCTGTAACATCCTTGTTCATGCTGTCTCGACCATTGACAATAAAACATGCCTTATGTCTGAATTAAAGATACAAACCCAAACTTTGTCATCTTTTTCACTTTATATAAATGTACTGTTGTGACGCGCCTACTTGTTTTTTTTTCCTTTTATCCTATAAACTGTATTTTATTATAGTTATCTAGTTATACAGTCTACAACTGCATAACAACAACAATTACAACAATTTTCTGACACACAAATGAATGTATCGCATGTGTTTTAAGAGATGCTCAAATAAATAAGTAAAATAAACTGTTCTTACGTCAGTGTTGGCTTCGCAGTCCATCTCACAGATCCTGGATGGTCCACACTGTACAAAACAGACAGATGGTCAGAGCTACGGAAATGTGCAGGATTTTAAGTTTTTCATCTTGTACCTTGTGTGAGCGCCCGTCAGACACATTACTCGCTAAGATCTTGAACTTATCCACCCAGGCTTCCATGTCTAGCTTCACTCCCACCACTAAAGACATTTTTAAAATTAGTTTAGTTTTAGACAAAATACTTAGCAAGCACCCTTCTGTCAGTTAATTTACCTGCAGGTTTTAGAATTTTGCCTCCTAAATTCACCTCTATGGCAGAGCTGACCAGGATTCCAACTGTGTCATTTTCTCTACCCATGAGGTCATCCAACACTGTCGAAGGAGAAACTTGTGTAAGTGAGCCAATATTTGATTTGTGTCCTGGTTTCCTGCAGAAGTACTCACCTGAACGTTGTGGGGCCCTGAACATGTAGCCCTTGTTGTCGAGGCTTCTTCTGTAGTAATTTGAATTGAACGGCTCAGGATCCTCATCCCACATGTCGGCAGCCCTGCAACACCAAGGTAATATTGTTGTTTAATATAGTAGTGACTGATCCACCCTCGCTGTGTGAAAGAGAGGTTACACAGGTCTTTCCTTCCTGCTGCCATCAGACTGTACAACGAACAATGAGGACTAATGAACACTACCGACCTCACCTCACATGACATGAATCTGTGCAAGATTTTTTAAATATTGTTAGAATGTGCAATATGGGACCACCTGTGTCCTCTGTCACTTTACTTTTATTCCAAAACCTCTGTTAACATGTTCAGTAGATTCATTCCTGTGAATGTTGGAACCCTCAGAGCAATGGACTTACTACCCTAATATTCTTGCACTAGAGTGTATAGCTGTACTTATTATGTTGCAGATGTATATTCCAACACTAAAGTATTCAGTAGTTAATACTTTTTCTATAATAAGCTAACGATTGCAGTATAGATTTACTAAATATTCACGTATCTTGTGCTGTGCGCTTCTTATTTATTTATTCCCTGCCGGGGGACTACGGATGTAAATTAGCCTAAGGCTAATTCCGGTACAGTGCATCAAATGGAAACATTTATGTTCTAGTTGTACATGGTCCTTTTTCAAAATATAAATTAAATAGAATAATAAAATAGTGAAGCCATGTAGTGTCAGTTATTTTTTGTTATACCTTCATTGAGCTAATATGAAATATCTCCAAGGTGCAGTTCATGGAATATGCCCTACATGCACTGGAGGCTTTTGCCACAAAGAATGAGCAGTTTTACCGTCAGAGAAGATAGAGAACCACAAACACTCAAAGCTGCAATAGATGCTAAAGGGTAATGCACACTATTGAGAGCTGGGGGTGGAAAGCTCTGATCTGGGTCCAAAGAGTAGTTTCTCTTGTTGTTAAAATTGAATCAAACACTTTTATTGGACAATAAATAGCTTCACAAAACCACTAACAATAACATTTTGTGTTGCCATTCATAAGCAAAAATACATATAACCAACATTCCTGATAGGATGAGTAACTTTCAAACACAACAGAAAAAAAATGTCTACAACATAGAAAAAAAAAACCTACTACTAATTTTTGAAAAGTTGAAACATTGCTTTATTGCAGTCACTTACATATTGGGAAACACCCGTGTTATTCCTCCGTCTGTGGATGCAAACACTGCTAAAAATCCATAACTGCAACAGTAAAATGGTCATTAAAAGTCATATTTTTATGTTTTCTGACGCTGCGGGAGGCTATAGACTTACGAGGCAAGGTCTTTGTTTTTCCACACGCGAGACGCCAGCTCCCCAATGATCCGAGAGTCCAGGATCAGGTTATGGATCAGGTACTGGTCGCCTGTGACAGACACCCACAATCAAAGAAGAGCATAAGGCCAGCATTATTGTTTTTGTTGTTTTTATTGCTCTAAAAAAGGATAGCGGGATAATACTATCTATTTCTTGGCTTAAAAAATGAGTGTTAAGTATACTATTGTATGTAGTTTAGACTTCAGTTTACAGTTCAGCACTAGCATCGTAACAGAATGGTGAATATATTAGCATGATGATTACCAACAACCACCAACAAAAGTTTTCTACAAATTCAATTCCACACTTTCTTTAATATTTTGTCTTGATAAAAGACAAAATAGTAAGCCTTATCTTTGGCTCTTAAACATGAGAATTTTTACTTTGACACTGAGCAGATAAAAATGCTATCTGCTTGTAATTCCTTATGCTGCCACCAGAGGGATGGGTTGATTATGTTTTGTCTCCCTGAGAGGAAATAAATGATCAGGAAAACACAGGCCAAATAGTGAAGTGCTGCATATTAAGGTTATATATTGATTGTGTTTACTCACACTCGTCTGATTGAGGCGAGATGTCGATGATGAGAGAGAGGAAGTTCTGTAGAAACTGTGTGTTGTTGTCGGACAGATGCAGACGTTTGCAGTATTCCCTAAAAACACAAGAGAAAAATGCTTAAGAGAATGTGGCAGCGACTGCAAAATGCTGAGGCGACTCTTTCTTACCTTGGAGCCAGAAACACGTGTCCTGAAGACTCATACGAGCTGGGAAGCAACGACTGCATATCTAGTACATGTGAAAAAGATGAAAATGTATAATGTGTGTATAATTTACTGCTCCGAATATCAATACATCTGTAGATTGATTTCATGTTTGTTTTGTGGTTTTTCCATCTGAGAATTTGCTTTCAATGGTAAATCCTGTTTGTAGATGAGTAAGTTAGAGTTAGAGTATCCAATCTAACTAATGTGAAACAAGTAATTTATATAGATGCCTTAATATTATAACAAGTATAATTAATGAAACCCACTTATTCCTTCGGTCCCTGACCAGCCCTTTCATTTTTGATCGGACTAGTTTCTATCTCTCAAAAATTTGGTTCTCTTGCTTTCACAAACAAATCATTTTGGCCTCTGTCATATCGATCTAAATGTTCAGACATAAAGGACGACCCTCACCCAGCCAATCAGCTCTCAACCCAAATAGTGACTTGCAGAGATCTTTCTTGACCAAGTATTCAAAAGACAAGTTACTGTATCTAATAAGATGAAGACAGGATATGGTTTTATTAATTCACAACACATTACTTTTACTCTTTATAATGGTATGAACAATAAAGAACAAGCCTAGAAACCCCAGCTTTAATGACACTTACAAATTAGCTTTTTTTTAAACAACTCTTTCCCAGTTTATCATTGTATTTTCTGGTTGGAGTTGAGAAGATATCATTATATATGAAGATATGATCAAATATTGATTACCAAAACAGTAATTTGTGGATTGACAAGAACAAAAAGCACTTTTGTTTTGGTAATGTATAACTAATTAAATGTTTTTTGTATTAGATTTGGGAAGGAATTTTGTGTTAAGATGAGTTTCAGATTATAGATCTAGGTACCACACCATCAAAACAGTAAACACATTTTTTTTTAAACAAACACAATGTGTTAAAAATAATACTTACACTGAAGCTGCAGCATCACATCACTGAAGTCTGCTTGGATGTAATATTCATTGTAAGACGGCAGCACCAAACCCAAACTGCAGAGGGCGCCATCACAACAACAACATGAAAGGAAAACAGCAACATTACATTCGTTTTTCTTTAAATATCGCTTACCTATAATCTGTGGCATTTATCGGAGCCCAGGTGTAGCTTCTGAACACATCATCAATGTATTGCTACAAACAAATCATCAAATATAAAATTGAATAAATATTTTGAAACACTACTCATTATTTCAAAGTGGACTTTGTGTCAGTACTTGCCTCATCAATGGACTTGACAAGGGTTTTGATTTGCATTTCTCCTGGACGTCCATCAATCATCTGTCTCCGAATCTAACAAACAAAACATTCAGTCTCACGCAAGTAAATATTATGAGATGCAAATACTATATAACGGGGATAGATTTTTGACATTTTGTAAGTAAAAGTCTCTTTGCACTTTACTGAATTTAAATGTATCAATTATTCAATGACAGATTATTTGTTATTTATCTATCAAAAATAGTTTCATGTAATCGAAACTGAAAAATAGTAACGTAACAAACATTTGTAACACAGTTTCCTTTTAGTGTAGCGCACTGCTCAATGACCTGGTAAAAACAAGAACTTAAAACTAAAATCACAAACAGCCTGCAACCATTTGTATTTATTTATAGAGCCCTGGATGGAATGTTCAGAAACACTGTTGTCATGGAAATCTGCCATAATTGTTGGCAGCTGAGAAAATAAAAATCCACAGAGATCTTAGGAGAGACTATTGAAAAAGTAAATTTCAAGTAAATGATCTTTCATGGACCAGGGTCACAAGGTCAGCGTTTACAGTAATATTACCATTATTGTTATTATCATTTAGTGGTAGTAGTTCAAAAGCTTTGTATTTTCTCCCATTCTTCTTTTTCAGACAGTTGACCTCAGGTACTGACCTCTTCTTTGTTGATGTCCTCCACTTCAGCATCGAGGAAATCCAACGTGACGGGCTCTGGGAGGTTCACAAGCTGAAAGAGACAGTAAGGATTTTAAAAAAGCACATAAAAAAAGAATAATGTGGAAAGCTGCTCACTTTGGGTCGGAGATTGGGGTGAAGCAGCAGGTAACCATTTGGATCAATAGCAAATATGTATCCATTTGCTCCCAGCTGTAAAAGATACATAGAAATACAAAGAAGTTTTCTTAGAAACTGCTTATTGGTTAGAAACTATTTTTTACAAATGTATCCAAAGTATATAATTGAGCCAAATTTATATCCAGGTATTACTTTCAACACTTGGACTCCCAGAATTATGAAACAACTAGAGCCAACATTTTGACTGTTCCTAAGGAACAGTCAAAATGTTGGCTCTAGTTGTTGGAATTCAAATAAATTCCCCTAAAAAAGTTTAGTTTTTCATTTTGTATTGGAAGATGTTTTTTGAATAAATGAATATAACTTGAAATGCAGCAAACAATATTTTGTTGAAAGAATAATGCTAAGACCAATTGCTAACGGCTGTTTGAAAACAGTGAGTTGCTGTAACTATAATTCAGACTCTTTTCTGGTGGAACAAACCTGAACAAGTCCAGGACCAGGACCATGAAACCGCCATAGACAGTTGGTAACAAAACAACAGAATATGGCTACATTTGAATTTTAGTTATGGTAATAGATATTACTAATAATATTTTAACAATGAAAGAGCTGTTCATACATTTCTTTGGATAGAAGTAAAGTACATACAGATACAGAAAAAATCTCAAAGTTATGAAGATAAAAAAGCTCTTGAAGTTCTACTGTTAAAATAATAATTTGGTCACACTTTAGTTCAGCCTTTATCTTTTTATGTCTGTAAAAGTCTGCTTAATGTTTTCTTATTTGCATTTGGAATCCCATTTAATATGACCATAATCAATTTAATATTTCATTACAAAGCCAAAATATACACTTAAAAAAATAACTAAAATAACTTACATTGTACCGCGGGGTCAGGCGCTTGATCTCATCCAGATGAACGTCCACTCCCATCACTCCCAAGATCAGCTGATTCTACCAGAAACAGAATCAGAATCAGACAAACAACAATGAGGAACTAATTGCATGGATAATATAGTAAAAACATTTGCAGATTAAAGGTTGGATTCCCCAGATTTAACTACAAACATATACTTTTATAGTTTTGACTTATTATGTAGTACTACAGCTGTTTTTTGTGTTTCTATTCCAACTGTTCTGTAATGTGCGCTGCAACACTGACATTTCACCGTTTCAGGTAAAATCGTGTCTCATATCGAATACATTACATAATGTTAAATGGTCTCACTAATGTCTGTATGTATTTGAATGTATACCTGTGAGTTTCCATCCATTGTGAGGTTGAAAACTGGTAATGTTCCTGTCACGACCAAACCAAGACCCTGCAAATACAAATACATACAGCTTGAAGAATAGTTTGTTGGAATATTATTTGGTTCCTTTCAACTCTTGTTGTTTACTCGTTTACCCTTCATATACCTGTCACAATAAATAAAAGACAAATGTAGATTGCCGAACAGAAAGTGTCCTGGACGCAGGAGCTCATGCAGAGTCACTACTACTTTGGTGCCTAAAGGGTTAAAAATCGAATTCCTAGAAATCTGCCCGAAAAAAGTTACATATTATATTCTAAGCAACTAAAGTTTTTATAACATTTTCTCTCTTAAATCCAGAAAATATTTTCTTGATCTTTTATCACTGATGTAGGACACAGTTTATTTATTCAAGAATAGCCCCATTGAGATGGATCATCTGTTTTTCGAGGGGGTCACTATAAAAATGATAGCTGATTTGCTCATCAATAAAATATAAAGTTTAGCAAACAAAATACACATCCATCCATCCATCCATTTTCTACCCCTCCCATTTCTGGGAGGGGTAGAACGTTCACACAGCACCGGCCTCTCACTGATCCTCCTGCAGGTGGTGAGTCCACAGAGGACAGCTGCTCTATGGCATAGCCTTGATCTGTCAGCGGGGGCTTCAGGCAAAGTAGGGTTAAGTATCTTGCCCAAGGACACAATGACAGCAGTCATCAATGGCAGTTGGTGGAGAGGATCTCATGGTGGGCTCGATCCCTCGACCTTCAGGCTCAAAGCCCAATGCTCTACAAACTGAGCCACTGTCGTCCCAAAATACACAGAAATGCAAAATGCATGCAGTGCATACATAACTATACCATATACACAATCACACACACACGCACACAATCTTCCCTCCCACTATTTTCTCACCAGTGCGTCCTGATAGACGTTGGTCCACTGAACCTGCTTTGCGTCGCTCCCGGCGAGGACCATGGGGCGCCCCAGCACATCCAGGTACTCCTGTCACATGGAGCCAGAGCAGTCACAACAGCAGCCACAGTGAGGACAAACAAACAGGGGACCAGGGAACCTAACCCACCTGGGTGTTAATCCTGATCGCACAGATGGAGCGGATCTCAAAATAGTAACCTGGAAAACACAAAGAAAAACGAGAGAACAGGTGAGTTAACTAAAAGTAAAGGAGAGAGGGGAACTCACCGACTTTAGACAGAAGGACTCAGACTGAGAGGATTGTTTTGGAAAGTTCCTCAATTTCATGTACAATATTTCGTAAAAGTTCCCTCTCTTTTCTGCAATTATAGCCTTCTATCTTTTCATGGGACTACACTGAATAGATCACACTTTACACAATGTAAAGTAGTTTGACTGTGTGAAAATATCCTCCTCACTGTGTTCCAAGATTTTTTCTGAATTGTCATTTACTCTGGCAACGGTTCTCATTTGAATCACTCTGAACTCCACATGGATACAGAGGCATTCATCGGAGTACCCGGAGGAAACCTGTCCCGACCGGGAGTCGAACCTAGGACCTTCTCATGTCTATTCCTTTTGGGCATAGAGTGTGTAAACAGTGTAATATTTGCAGAAATGGGTATTTTCTTTTCAGAGACGCCTGCACTTTTCAAACCGTAATAACACTGCATTAATTCACCAAATAATAAAGAGAAGTGCTTCGAAAACAGTCGCTTTGAAAAGGGTGTGAAGATGTACTATTAACTCTTGGTCTTGCAGTGTTTTACATTAACACAAAAAATAATAATATTTATATTTTGAAGATTGTATCAAAAAAGTTTACAACTCCACACGTTTTGGACAATGAATAATTCATGAAAATACAACAGAGGCAGTACATCTTCAAAGGGCCAATATTGTGAAGGGTTAGTGTCTAATTAAAACCATAGATCAATATTGTGTAGGTGGTCATAATAGTGTGGCTGTATGTATGGCTTTGTGCTGGCATAGGTATAACTGCTCCAATATAAAACATCAGAAACAAGGCATTTGATACTTGAAACCAAATGTACATCATTTGCATGTAATATTTGAGTCAGTCATTCTATAGCCATACTATGAAACATATAGGGAAAAACAATAACACCTTCATAGAAAATATGTCAAATTTTAAATCAACTTCTTAACAGCAAGTCGTTTATGCTTCAGTTACAAAACGATTTGCCGCATAACATGGACATAATTACTGCCAGGGCTTTGAATACCGGGCGCGTTAGTGGTTGATTTATCTGTTTTTGGTCCTCTGAGGTTCTTCCAAATCTCTTCATCAATTTTAATAGTCTCAGCACTTGGTTCCAGTGTATGCATGCCTAATATAGCCTGCATTGAATTTTCACCTCCCATCCTTAAACGTGACATACTATAATTCAGAGAGCTTTAAAGAAGGTGCTCCTCTCTGCAAAGTGGACCTAGGGGTTGTGAGCTGCCGGTTCTGAAGGTTCTTTATGAATCCAGACTCTTAAACCAAACACCTAAAATTATCAATGACTCTTCTTTTGACCGCGGGAAAAGCCATGTTCCAGCTTCTTCCCTCTGGCAGAAGATATCATGCTTTTTTTAAATTTACTATTACTATTATAGGCCTTTACCAAATAGGTTGCCCCATAGAGTAAGCTTTCAGTTCCAAGCATGCTTCAAGTAGGTTAAACAGAGCCCTTTAATGATCTTGCAGTTGTATCGAGACTGTTGTAGTTGATAAATGTTTTAATGCTGTGTTTTTAACCTTGTTTTATTTATGTACTTGTCTTGTGCACGCTGGGGACTTTTGCAAATGTTTCCCAAGTGGTTGTACTGAAAATGGCAAATAATGAATCTGAATCTATAAGCTTTCAACCAATTACTTTGTGAATATTTCCAATGTACGCCTTACTTCATCATTAGTACATATTTTACAATAGCTATTATTCATTTTTTAAGGCCAAAGAAAATCCTATAGTAGTCTTAAAAATGACAGAAGAAATAAATGAATAGAATACAAAAATAAAATAAAATACCTTTATTAGTGCAGGCAATCCACTGCAGAGGTGTGACATCATAGTTATGCTGACCGACTGAAAAGGTAAATACTCGAACCTAAACAAAGGAAAATAATACAGCACAAATGTAGATAATACTGAAAAAAAGCTTGATTTTGTTTGATTTATACTATTTTTCTTACTGTCTTGTTCGGCCAGTTGTATTGCATGAAGACGTCCTGGGCCCGGTCCTCTCCTCCATCAGTAAATAACATGATTATCTTATTGCAATTTGCCCGTGGGACATTAGTTTTCTGTAATAACAGGACAATATTATTGCCTATTTGCCATAATATATTGATAACAAATTAAGTTACTTTTTTCTACTTTTTTAAATATGCATTTTTGTGATATTACCTGTTTTTCTCAACATTATAAGCTATTGAAGATTGTGTGTGTCCAATATCTAATAAATACCTATTGTAGTGAATATACTAAATATTGATAGTATTCATAATCCATTGTCACTTACATTCAAAAGTTGATTGAAGGCAAAATGAAACCCCGATTTGTAGTCAGTCGTGCCTTTAGCTTGCATCTGTTGAACCGCATCTTTAAATATTTTTTTATTCCGAACATTTGCTTGGACCAGATGTTTGAAGCAAGGCACCACAGCTTCAGCTTTTTCATTGAACTAAAACGCAGAAAGAAAGTCGAATGATAGAATGTACGGTGCAGTTTACTTCATGATTTTTTATGGACCATAGTCTCACCCTGGCCACGTTGACGTAATCGTCGTCTGACAAAGTGTCCAGCATCTCCATCACAGAGGCTTTTATCAGCTTCAGAGTAAGTCCACTGACACTGCCACTCCTGGAAGAAAAGATGCAATTATAAAGCTTTCTCTGAGGAAGGATTCATGCTTTTCTAGCCAAGTATCCGTATTGAAGTGCAACCTGATGCAAATGTACTTATTGCCAACGCAGGAGGGTCTGTTAGACAGTTAGAGGGTCTTAGATAAGAGATCCTTTATACGTCCCACAGTGGGGAAATTTAAATGTTAAATTTCCCCACTAAATTTAAAAGTATAGTAAAAGCACACAGGGAGCAAACAAAATGTACAAAACACGTAACTGCTATGTTTCTTAGACAGCTGAAAATGCTTCATTATCAATATCAAGTATTAAAAATATACATATATACTATAGTGCAAAGTTATATACAGTACATATAGGGCAGGGTAATAAGTAGATAAAGAGACTTTCAGTGGACTTTCTGAAGTTGCATTATTGCAGGTTGCACATCATTTCAGTATTTACTTATTTACAGATGAATGACTGAACAAACTGTGGTGATGATCCAGGACACTCAACATCCAATAACATTTATGGGCATTTATCAACACTTACGGACATTGGTCAATTCCTCCTTATAGACCATTACCTATGTGCTCTCTATTCTTTATGTTTGAACTGTTTGATTCTCTGATCTGTGTCCTGTGTCGGCGATTTCAACGGTTTTATCAAGTCCTCTGAGATAACTACTGTTGGGATTTAGGGCTTTACAAGAATAGAACACCTCCAATGTTTTCAATACGTATTAATTGAGTTGTGTATGTGTGATGTGTGGCTAATGCCTAAATGTTCTATCTCTTTTAAAAGTATATACAGAGATGCAGGGAATAAAGTCGCAATTTTGCCCTATACAGCCCTTCTGATGGATAACATAACAGTGAAGTCAAATTTAGTTCCTTAATAATTATCAATCAATCAATCAAACTTTATTTATAAAGCGCTTTTCATACAATAAAATGCAACACAAAGTCCTATACAGCTGAGTCAAAATCAATACAACATACCCAATAAACCCCAAAGACCCACCCATAAACCACCCTAATTATATATACATTGAGATGCATATACCCGTACACACGCACACACATATACACACACATACACACACACACACACACACACACACACACACACACACACACACACACACACACACACACACACACACACACACACACACACACACACACACACACACACACACACACACACACACACACAAAGACATATAAAATCACAACAGACAGGTAAAATAGGTAAAACTATGAAAAGATATAGGGCTGGGTGCGGATGTATCCAGCTGAAGATTAGAGGTGGAAAATAGTCTGGTGATTAGTAGTCATTAACAGATTCCTTTTAAATCTGTTCCTTCAAATAAAAAGAAAACTTTAAATTATTTCAAACCCATTGCTTGTCAGTCCAAAACATAGCAACGAGTCTTATTCAGAAATTGGTTGTGACGGTCAGTCTTTGGAAGCACAGTGTCAGATAGAAGACATCGAGACGGCACACTAAGAGATTGTTATTACCCGAACCATCTTTGCAGATAATAAAACTAAGCTTGGATCTATTCACCGCCATCACCCCAACGTCGAGGATGGAGCATGAGGTCAGGGCTCATTATAAGTAGAGTAGTCGCTGCCATGGAGACAGTCTTGTCGGTGTGAGACATGTTTTGATGAAGAGCTGGTTCAGTGGCCTCTCCTCCTCAATATTTAATTAGATTTACACACAAAAAACTAACCATAGGGACATTAGTTTGAACACAAAAGCAGAGACCATGAGCAACATTGAAAATTGCTATTGGCTGGAAAAACAAAGACCCATCCCCACGCTTATGTCAGTAATGAAACGTTTAAACATATTGCATTCTTGATATTAAGAGCTCATCTGTGTTTTAAAAGCCTGAACATTCACCGGACTCATGTTTATCATTTGCAATCTCAAAATCCCTTTATAAAGAAACTACTTAAATCCTACATACAAAAATACAATATTACTAACAACACTAAAAACAATGTTAGACAAACCAAAAAACTATTAGATTCAACCACTCTAGTTGGTTGTTATGTGTACTACTATATCCAAGACTACTAGTTATGTGTACTACTAGATCCAAAAGTACTTGTTATATGTACTACTAGATTCAAAAATTCTAGTTTTTCAATTCAATTAAATTCTATATATTCTTGTATAGCCCTAAATCACAACAGTAGTTATCTTAGAGGACTAAACAAAACCCTTGAAATCACCAGCACAGCTCAGAGAATCAAATAGTTCAAACACAAAGAAAAAAGAACACAAATGTATTGTTCCATCGGGGGAGTTGACCAATGTCCATGAATGTTAGAGAATGTCCTGGATCATCACCACAGTCCTTTTTGTTAGACCCTTATGTGTACTAGCTCCAAAACTACTAGTTAGAGTTATGTGTACTTTTAAATACAAAAATACTAGTTATGTGTATTACTAAATCCAAAACATTCTGGATCAGTTTTATGGTGAATCTGAGGAGTACTAAGCCCCACTGTGCAAACATGTTTTCTTGAACTTACAAATGATAAATAATAACATTCTACCTGTGGGCTCTGCCATAATGTTTGAGTACTTTTTGGAGCTTTTGTCAAATTATTTTAAAATTGAACTTACACATCAACAAGAATAACCATATCTTTGGGAGACGAGGCGCCCTGGATGTACCTGGGAATAATCATGCATACAAATACATTATGCTAACGACATGAATCTCATGCATTTTTCAGTGTTTAATCAGAAGCAATGCAGCGTACCAGGGTCTGCGCCTCACGTCATACAAGTCAATCTTATCAGGGGCTTTCCACGGAGAAGCTGAGGAAAGAGCAGACGACAAGTTGTGTTCAGTCTGTGTCTGAGTTCACACAAACTACTGAAGAAAAGACGTTTTTGTTTAATGAGGAAAGGGTTTTTTTTTATGTTTTGGAGAACACGTGAATGAAGAACAAATCTTTTAGAGAGAGCTAGGCATTTCAAACGCTTTAATGAATATACCTGGATAGTATCGCGTGACTCCGGTGGCACTTCCAAAAGCCTGCCACAGCAAAGATGGATCTTCTCGACTGTTCTCCATAAAGACTTTCTCCAAAGCTTGAGTCCAGTTCAACTCGTTTAAAATCACTGGTGCTAGATGAAAAATAAACAAACAAATTGCAAAAACTGGTTTGAACCCATATTTTTTCTCATTCCAAGTGAGAATCTGCAGGTCTCTTAAAAAAAACATATTTATGCTTAATAATTGTCATGGCAATTATTGTTTTACAGACAACATTTGACTAAAATAAAGATAAATGTATTTTTGCAGTGCATTATTTAACAACTAACAGTATTATTTTTAATGTCTAAATCTGTTAGAGTTCTTATTTCTACAAGCAAGAATTAAAATCTTTTTCAGAATAAGTCCGTACTCTTCATAGATGTGATGCCACAGCTACAGCAGGTGCCACTAACCTCCTTTATAGATGTCGGTGGGGATCTGCACCGCTGTGTAGGAGTAGTTGACATTGTTTTTGAAATTTGGGTCATACACAAACTCCAGCTTGATGTGGGAGGGGTTTTCCACTTCTCCTTCTCCATCCATGGAATACTGTTATGAGGAGTGAGGAAAATGTGGTTGGATTGGAAATATAATACTAACAATAGTAATAATGATAATAATAATAACAATAACTTGTGTAATATTTGAGGAGGTTTCAAATAACATTCAGTGGTTTAGGGTTAGGGTTAGGTATACACATTTGAACTAAAACACTGCGGATGAATCAATGAAAATGACTGAAAAACAGAAATCAAATCTACTTATGAACTCATTCATGAATCCAATTTAAACAATATTGGAGTGCTTTAAACTGAAAACATCCACAGCCACACTTGCTCTTTTACTTACGTTTTACTCTCCATACAATGTTGTCACAGCCATTTCCTTGCATCAAGTCTTCCTTAACAACATAATTTCCCCAAAAACTACAGAGAATTTTCAACTCACGTAATCCAGCTCTGCCTTTGAGTCATAGTACGCCATGTCCAGCTCCTGAAAATACAGTTTTGTACAGATCAGACCAGATTCATTTATTTGCCATTTGCAGAAAAACTGCATTAAGATGTCCATTAAGGTGTTTCATAAAGGTAAATGCCTATACTGGATTGTCCTTCTGTCATTTCTCTTTGAGTTTGAGTGTGTTTTAGGCCTTAAGACCCCATCACGGCTGTTCACCTCCACGTCTGCACAATATGCGATAACATCTCCATGGAAACGGACCTGCTAGTGAAGTGAACTTAGGGCGACAGGAAACAGAAATCTCTCCATACAGACACAAACACTATTATATGATCATTGAACCATTTGGCTCCACAAGCTTTGGTGATGGATGAAAAGTGTGTATTTCTGAGCTGTCTCTTGCAAATGTATGCATTGTGCTTTGTGCAGCCGCATGACGACTCAGTGACAGGTGGTGTGCTGCCATCTGTTCTCTGAGCGCAAAAGCAAGTTTGACGTAAAAAGACACTAGTTTGGATCTGTTTACAACCACAAAAAAACGTTAATAACTACAGTGTTATAACCCAGACAATGGAGAGACATAGTTTAAAATGTCAGAAGGACTTCGTGTCTTGCTAATGCAGTCATGTCACTGTGGCAAAAGAGAGACATCGTGATCAACAAACAAACAACATGCAAGCTATTTCTAATTTCTAATAATCTACTATTTCTTTCTTGTATACTTTTCTAAGACTTAATACTATTTCTTAGTAGGTACGAGCCTCACTGACTAATTTAGTTATGTAAATATAGTGGGTGAAACAGCTGAAGGCGCTGATGTAGAGGAGGCAGCTGTGTGTCCCATTTACAGTCAATATGGACAGAATAAAGTATTTCATCTGTCAGAAAGATGTAGAACAGACATATTCTAAAAAGAATTGCAGTGTACCTTGGCATGCGCATGTAAACATAGTTATAAACATACAGTTATATAGGATTACTGAACAGGATCAGACACGATAAATAATACAAAACACAAGCTCATCAGACACTTGGGTTTGGGTCCTTTTGTCTGATGATAACTTAAATTGTCAAAATGTAAATGCAATACTTTTCACTGTATCAAGTCTTATTACTGTTGTCTTAAACAATAAACTAGATAAAGATTGTCCTTTCTGCTTGAATGATATGGACAATTGTTTTATATAACTTTTACTGTCTTAACTCTATTCATACTCTAAACCATAAATTTTAGCACACAACTTTTTTTCCCAGGAAAACAGATCTCCATGACTCAAGTCTTTATGAAGATTTGAGTTCCCATTTGAGGAATACCACATCAGAAAATCCAAACACTCTTTCCGTTGCGTATTGTAAAATCTTTTGCACAATGTTGTTGACGTTGCTCTGAAATCAATGAATGTTTTTTACCTTGATGCTGTCCTTCCACAGATGCTCCCGCTGTAGCCGCTCTGCTTCGCTGGCTAACCTCTGCACACACAAACACGGCTTGAGGACCACTCTTTCCTTTATCGATTACAAGTACAGAGAACAACTGTGTCTCTGATGAGCCGTGGCATTCGACAAACAACTTTGACAGCCAGAGAAACCTTGAGGCGCTTGTTCAAAAACGTACAATTATTAGAGCTAGAGAAACTAACTTTTAAACAACAAAAAATATGTAACTAGGTCCCCGCTCTCAAAATAGTTTGTTTCCATTCCCAGATTTTACATGCATGTTTTGTTTACCTCTGTCCCAGATTTTTTTCTGACAGAAAAGTGAAATAGAGAGGAGCACCCTTGCTAGGCCAAAACCTCTAAATGGGTCTATATGGGATTTACCATTTGGATAGAAAAAACATTGAGTATTGAGCAGTATAGAATCCCTCTTTCATACTTACATCCAAAGCTTTACGTTTTTTTGCCAGAAGTTTTTCAATGTCCATTGCCACGTTCTCCACAATTTTTCTGGGCTGATTCTTTATCACACTGAACTGCCTCCTTTCTTCATTATAAATCTGTAATACAAAGATAAATAAGCACTGTGCAACATTTCTAATGAGGGATCAACAACAAATCTCCAGGATTAACTGAAGCTTCATATCTTTCGTTCATTCAAATACAGTACATGTGCTTTAATGCCATGTATTGTATTTGTCCTCTTCTTTAGTGAAGTGTGTGAAGTCTTATGGGATTGTGTGTAATATTCATCAAAAAACTGAAACCCACTAATTTCACCAACAGATGGATATAGTAATGAGTACAATTGTTGCCTAGTCTTCCCTCATTTTGATAATCTGGTGAAGTTAATGGTGTCTTCTGATTGGACATAAACTGCAGATTTCATTTGACTTCTCATCTGCAGCTTATGTCCAATCAGAAATAATACATAAGAACTATAAAAAACAAATGCAAAAAAGTCTGTACATTGTATACATGTATTGTGTATACAATGTTTGTTCTTTTGAAGACATATTTGGAGCAATTCCATTTTTATTTGAGTGATGCAAAACCATACATATTCACATAAGTCATAATTACACCAGTTTTACGGACGCACTTAATGATCTTGTTTTTTTTGTTCGCTTTATTTAAAAGCATGTGCGTAACTAGGGGCTACGACTATATCGCAGCACCATGAGAACCATAAATGATCAAAGCAATGATGATGTAATGATGTAAGATCAAGGAAAATAAACTTTTATTCAAACTTGTGCTACGCAAATGATATCATATCATTATTTACGCTGCCTCTGGCTGAAGACTTACACATCATAAAGAAAGAATAATAACATCACTTTTTACAGCTATTGTGGTAAAAACAGACAACAGACACATTGCAACAAACTATTTCTAGATAAACAACCTAAAACATTTTTTATTTTTATACAAGTGGTGTAAACCGATCTATGATGTAGAACAAAGGAAATGTGTTTCCATTGGTGCATCGTATAGATACAGTAAGGTGGTGCAGCAGCCTGAGAAAACAGATGGAATGATTTCTGTGGAGTGTGAACCACAATGTGCTGAGCTGGCAGGGCACACAGAAATCCATCTTTAATTTCCTGTGTTGCTAATGGCTTCCTGTAAACTCCATTGGACTTTCCCTCACAAGCATCTAACAGCCTTTGTATTACAGAATGATTCAACATAAAGCCCACTGTAACCTTGTGAGGGATGTCTTAAGTGTTTTGGGCCCAATCATACAGAGACGATGCAGTTTTCAAAGGTCATCACTGTTTTCACATGTTTCCAGGCTTTTCAAAAATAATTTTTAGAACGTACTCATATGGACAACCTCAAGTAACTTTAAAGGACAATTACTCCAGGAGGAAGGTCTCTGATGGACAAATCAGAATCCAACCTGTCCCTCGTTTCATTGGCACACCATTAGATAGATACTTTATTGATCCCCCGTAGGAGAAATTCAAGTGTCCAGCAGCAGAAGACTCTTTTTTTGCTGTACAGTCAGTCAAGTTTGTTGTACAGTCTGACATCCGAAGGAACAAAGGATCTCTTATAAGGGTTATTGCATTAGTATTATAGGCATGCGTTAATGTTTGGCCACTATATCCATAAGAGTTATACAGTGACTCAAAAAACAATACATCATGTTCAACTAATCATCCCCGAAGAACAAATAATCTTTTAAGACTATTCCTCTCGATATGGGGCTAACTACAGAAAGCATCACTCTGTATCACTCTGCTCCAGTGAGACCACAGTGAGAAGGGAAGAGGCCTGAACCTATAAATGGACCTGACGACATCCCTCAAGTTGCAACGCTGACCAGAGGCTGAGGCCGGCGTCACACACACACGTCACAGGGAACACAGTGACCAGAGAGCAGGCAGGACTTTACCCAAGAAAAGACTGGAGCATTTGGGATTTCATTTTAAAAAGTGTTGGATTAAATATATATAATAAAAAAAACAATCGCTTTTAAATATTACAGAATATTTGATGTTAAAGACCTTTTTATTTGTAAATTGTGAATGTATTTAGAGTAAAACGTATTTAATAATCTCAAAATAGTCATTCCTAACTCTTTTTTGAGATATTTATGAAGTTAAATGTTTGCTGGACCATCCAAAACCTAAATGAATAGTTTGTGTATAGAGCAACATTCTTTAGGCTGAACAAATAATTGACAGTAATGCTGAAAAAAATACTGAACTGACTAAATAATAATGGTTAAGGTGCGTTAAAAGAGATTATGAGCTGATCATGTTTCTTGAGATCTGTCACACATAACTCAAGTTGACTCATAGTCTCATCATGGGAGTATTGCTGTGGCTGAGTCATGATTTTCTCAGATGACAATGGAATCAAGTAAATCTAAACCAAAGTGGGTGGGATTTGTCCACACTTGAGATAAATACATATTATTTATATATCTGTAACACGTTCTGTATTGCACGTTTCTTTCTGCAGTATTTCTAACCGAGCTACAATTGCACTAAGCATGTCAAGAGCCTTTACTAGTCTTTTCTCTGGGATTAATTTAGCCCTGAATGAAATTAGAGAGTGGGCTGACCATCTGCTGTTAGTGACACAAACTGAGAGGGCACGTGCTCCAGACTCTGGCACTTTAGCACAGTAGCAGATAATATCTATTTACAGAAAACATACAACATTCACATTCCTTTTCTATCCTATAACAACACAAACATACACCGGTGGAATAATATCAGAATGACAACTACTAAATGTTTACAGAGGTCTAAACAAACTGCTTCTTTAAGACAGGAGAAGGCTTATCTAAGTGATTTGTCTATTGTGTCCATTTACATTTTGATTTGATTTTAATACAACTTTCAGCGCACATCATAATAATTGTATAATTACAAGATCGACTGATATATCGGACAGATATTTTATGTTTATGAAATTTTTAAATCAGTCCATCGGCCTGAAATTCTTTCAATCTGGAAACAACCGCATCATTTACGTGGATTAAACAATCAACCCACAAAGCAATTCAGGGTGATTCATAGATAAAATATTGTTATCAGTTTACAGTACACAGCCATTAATATCTATTGAGGTATTTTGTATTAATGATGTAATAAGCTGGTCAAAACAAAAGACAGTCCCGGTGGAAAAAAATGTTTTACCTTTGGTTACCACCAGCGTGTATGGAGTGAATGAGTAACGCCACGTAAAGCGTCTTCGAGTGCTATAAAATGCGCTAAATGCTTATATTTAATGTGCAAGATTATGTGTAAATTAACTGTATAAAATGTTTTTCCAAATCAGATTTTAACACAACTAAACTCAACTCTCATTATTGAATAGACACGTTTCATAATAAGCAGTAGTCTTCCTTCTCTACAACAGCAACAATCTAAACATTATAACAAAAGATACTGTTGTGATATCAAGCACTCTAATATCATCATTTTCAGAATGAGAATACGGAATCAATCACAGACCCACTGATATCAATAATAAACATCTTAATAAAATAAAATAAAAAACAATAACAAATGTAAAGGCAGGCCTAACTATGACATATGAAGTGATCAAATGAGTGCCAAAATAGCCACACAGTCCACATCTCTGGGACGATCTTTTATCAGCAAACTGTCACAGTGGAGACAGAAAGCACTCTGTAAAGCCCAGAGACGTGTGCTGACATCAATTCTAGCGGTTTGAGTGAGTGTACAGGACAACACCGCGGTCCACAGCCCATCCATCAAGTCCGCGAAACCTCCAAAACTCAGCCACAAATGACATGATGAATACCACAGAGGATGAGAACACACAAGAGCAACACATGTGTTTGAGAGCTGTGCATTCACAAACGGTGCACACTGGGACAGTCCTGCACAGTTTATCCAATATGGTAAATGGGAAATAAAATCTTGTATCTTGTCTTGTGTATTGCATAAAACATTAAACGCTATTGTTGCCTAATCCATTGTTGTTATAGAAAGAAACCAAGGGTGCAGGAACCAGCGACGGCCCTGTGTTTGGTAATGGATATAATAATAGTGATAAAAATAGCCTTGTCTGTCTATGATAAAAGCTTCCATTAAAATCCATCCGGTCAAAAACACATAATCTGAGTGAATATCTGTAAAAATAAGAATGTGCTATATTGTATAACACATAGAGTATGTGGGGGCGGGCGACAGTAGCTCAGTTGGTAGAGCATTGGCCTTTGGCCCTGAAGGTCGTGGGTTCGAGCCCACCGTAAGACCTACTTCACGACTCCCACTGATGACTGCTGTCGTTGTGTCCTTGGGCAAGACACTTAACCCTACTTTGCCCAAAGCCCCCACTGAAAGATCTCAGCTCCTGTGGACTCACCACCTGCAGGAGGATTAGTGAGGGGCTGGTGCTCTGTGGACTGGGTGCAGCTCTGACTGCCACCCCCCCGACCCAGAAATGGATTAAGGGGAAGAAAATGGATGGATGGATGGATGGACATAGAGTATGCTCAAATCCAAGCATACATAATGTGCATGCTAAGCCAAACCTCCTAATTAGTGCATACAATAATAATCTTCAAAACACTTTACGAGTTGAGAGAGCTTCAGATTCTAAAAATTGCTCTCGGGTTGTTTTTGATTCTACTGTAGCTCCATTGATATAATTCAGAGCTTCCATGAGACACACGGTAATTGCTTGGATGTTTTATGAAGCTATTTAGTTGTTGTTATATGTGCTGTTGCTGTGCTCTGAGCTTTTTGCCCTGTGTGTTTCCATCTTCAGACATGGTTGAATAAAGTGAAAGAGAAAACTGTGTTTGCACTCACCCCTTTGAGCTGCTGTGCTCCAGTGATCTGCTGAAAAACCCGGTCTATCTCCTGCTCGATACGCGTGGCCCAGTGCATCACCCTGTGGATCCACAATCACACGTTTACTGGCTTGGGACAAAAAATAACATCTGGGACAGCTGCATAATCAAGAACAACTATCTGAAAATACTTTAGAAAATATACAGCATCTGAGCTGGTGCTCTGTGTACTGGGGCAGCTCTGATTGCCACCCCTGACCCAGAAATGGATTACGGGGAAGAAAATGGATGGATGGATATACAGCATCTTTATTTCTGGTCATAATGCATTTTATAACCTTTTCTAAAGGATGATGGCTCTTTTCTGCTGAAGAAATGCATGGTTTGATTGTGTGCGGATTATTTAGCATTTTGTTAACAAACACACAATTTTTGGGTGTTGAAGACTTTAAAGCAAATGTTTACACAGCTTATTCATTATTAAAAAGTCATTAAAAAGGTCAGTCTCCTTATGTAAACAGAAGAGTAAATGTTGTGCATTAAGCATGGCCCTCGCTGCTGGGACTACCTTTCATGTAAAGTGTTTTCCCGAATCTACCTCAAGGTCAAATCTTGTTTCCCCACAAATATACACACACACACACACACACACACACACACACACACACACACACACACACACACACACACACACACACACACACACACACACACACACACACACACACACACACACACACAGCTATCAATCCATCCATCCCACACGTTGGTTTTATTTGGATTTAAGACATACAGTTGCTGAGATTATCGCTGCACTAAGCCATTTGCAATTTAAGATTGACCACAGCACAAGGTTTGTATTCACGATTCTACAATATCTGAGCAATAACCTAGATTTACATTATTACAAAACAATACCAAATATTTAACTGTGGCAGAGCTAAAAATCCATCATAGAGCCAAGCAGCAATAGATAGTGGGTGTCAGAGAGGATCCGGCTTGGACATTTCTTTTCAATTCTCTGGCAGATAATACGTCTAGTTCAGTTTGTGTCTTTTTTCTATTACGGTTTAAGGTTTAGAGTTCAATTTATGCTACTTTCCATCTATAGTATGTAAAGTAATCAATTATCAACAATGCATTGTAGGTGTGTTTCTGTTAAATCATCCATTCAAATCAGTTGATTACTTGTTTAGTTCTTTGTATTACAGGCATGACGAAAGCTGTAAATAACCAGAGGAATGTTGAATTACTTTTTTTTGCATCCACTCATTCATTGTCACCAGTGTGCCAGAGTCCTCACAGAAACAACAGCATATCCATTTCCCTTTAGAAACACTCAGACAAGATAAGGCAGACATCATCAAATGCATTATCTGCAGTTTGGGCGGCTTCAAAATCTCACAAAATGGAGCCACGTAACGATAGCAAGATAAGCAGTGCGCCACGTCTGCCATTGAAGTTCTGATTCAGTCTCATGGCGCCTTTGACAAGCACACTACTTTTTTGAGCAGTGTATTTTTGGGTCTAAGGTGTGGGCATGGCAGGGACAGGAGTGAAGACATGTAGCAGAAAGCAGTATGTTTAAGCACAAAACATTCCTATGCACCATTTGTCCATAAAATAAGAATGTCCTTGTTCAGTATTTGCAGTTAGAAAAAAATGATAAAATGCTGAAGTGGTCCGAGTACAAGATAATGAATCAAATAAAATTAGGCTCACTATAGGATTTGGGTAGATGAATAATACGTTTTTAGATTTATCAAAACAAACATAATAAAATATGTTTTCTTTAAAGTCTTATAATACAGATTCTTCCAACAATTGAGAGCCAGATGCCACTTGACACCAGATGAATCTCACAAGGATCAAAACAAAACAATACATCTCATTGAACTAGTAAAACCTGTGGAGGCATGTCCTGCTGCAATATTGATATGAGAGCAAACGGCCTCTTAGCCTTTGCCATTTTCTTTTATGAAATATTAATCTAAAACATATTGCTGTAGTGTACCCAATGCCAATGCAGTACTAAATCATGTGACAATTCTCTAAGAACGAGAAAATAAAGCGGGTTCCACAATACTTCAAATAATCAGTTAGTTAATTCTGCCCTTCGAGACTGCTCCACTGCTGTTTTTGGACGGTACAGTAAAAAATCGATTTTATTTGATTTGAGTTTGATTTGGTGGTGCCCGAGAGCTGTTAAAACTTGCTCTTGGAGAAAGGCTGGTTCAAAATGATGCCAAATGGTAAAATCTTGGAAAACTGGATGTGCATGATTGTGTGCTATGATAAGTATCAGATCTAGTGCAGTAAGTTCAGGAGGAGCCCGTCTGGTCCCCTCCATGGCTCTCTTAGCAAAGGAAGCACAAGAGGTTCCTATATTCCTAAACCTCTGTAAGCAGCTATGAGGCATCCCACAATGCACTGTGCTTTCTCCCACCTTTTTTCCTGTCTTTAATTTGCACGTGGCCCACAGTCTCTGCATGAGTTTGTAATGTGTCATAAGTTTTACTGCCTCTGAAAGAAAATGATGAGCATGAACAGAACTGTATGATACGCTGTACAAATGAAAATAAAAGATTGTAAGAGCCTCAAGAGCCAGATTAATGTGATTAGATATCATAGGATTCCTTCAGTAAAAATGTTAGAAAACATAACGGCACGGTGGCTGAGTAGATAGCACTCTCGCTACTCAGCAAGAAGGTCCTGGGTTTGAATCCCGGTCGGAACAGAGGCCTTTCTGAGTGGAGTTTGTATGTTCTCCCCATGTCTGAGTAGGTTTTCTCCAGATGCTCCGGTTTTCCCTACCGCTAAAAACATGCACAATAGGTATGAATGTATATGAGAGAGTGAATGGATGATGTTGATCAGAGTGTTCGGCGACTCGCTTCCGTCATCACCGTGTGTGGAATGATTGGAACAATATCTGAACTCTGAACATTGTACAGCGCTTTGGGCAACCTTGGTCTGTAAAATGTGCTATAAATAATCATTACTTACTACTTACTTACATGAGGGGTATTGAGAAAATAGACATTTCCCCGAGGACTGAGAAGGACCAAAATTCAAAAAGTCTGGCTTGGAGCCCAGTTTATGGTAAGTTAGCTTGATGAAATATACTGTGAATATAAATCCACATGTGTGCCCTCTTTTGGCTAAATGTTCATATAGAACTAATAATGATAATGCGTCAGTTACACTTCACATGGCTAGTGTGTGTCATCGGCCCCTTCTATCACCACCAATTTTTTTCACAGACATCAGACTCAGATGAGAATGTGGGTGAAGTTTGACACTTCACAACCACAGTCGCCCCACTGGGGCACCTGGTGTTCCCAGTGGTCTCCCATCACCGTACTAACCAGGCCCTGCCCTGCTTTGCATCAAAGATCTGACAGGATCTGGCTTTAACATGTGGGTGTAACTTGCATGCTCATTTATATACAAAGGGTTGTTCTATTTAAGTCCTAAATTAAAGACCCAGAAAATTCTGGATTTAGACCGGTTTAGATGTTGTGGTGGGTTTACTTGGCACTCCACGTCAAAAGTTCAAGATTCACTGGATTCACTGGATTCACTATGATAGCTCTTAACCTCATTTTTTTCCTTCTGTGCCCTGTGTATTATTGGCTGGGGAGGTTTGTGTCTCAAGTTAGCTGAGAGATGTAGAAGCAGCCACACTGTCCTCTACACTTAGAGGCCCAGGGGACACAGCGCAGTGGTTCTACAGCGGTATTTGACCCATATTCACCAAAGACACTGCGAGAGGACCAAAGCAAAGCAATCAAAAGATGTGTACTTAAATGCTAAGATCACTTTCTGCTCATTATATAAACAGAATGAATCAAACTGATATTGAAATAACAAAATAATATTGAAAACCATGAAAACTTAAATACTTTTTGAGGGGAAAAAATAGATTATAAATAATATTACACAATTTGTATGAATACTATTGAGTCGTTTTAATGCTGTTTTAATACTGGATATTCATTTATTATTCAATCTTCAATAATGACTCTTATCCCTTCCCAAACTACTAATCATTCAGCCTAACTTGTTTTATTTCCATCTCGTTGTAAATAGTATATATTCATTTCCAACATAGCAGAACAGTAGCATAACATTGACAACAGCCTATGGCGAGATGCTTTGCGGTTGTATTAAGTGTTTGCACCAATCTGATCTAACATTGTCAGTGACATCTATATCACTGCATTATTTATCGGTCTCTATCTGAAGACAAGGGATGAGGAGCAGCGTTAACTCTACACAGGCTGAATAAGTCCGTTCTGCGGGGGTATTAATTCTTAATTGGAAAAAGAGGCTGTTGCTTCATAGCGCATCCTCTCTGCCCCTTTTAGCATAGTACTAAGAGATATTAAACAAAAGGTGTGAAATACATCTGTTTTAGCCAGCCTATAACGAAATATGGAGAGACAAGATGTAGGAGGCGCCGCTACTGTATAAAGCTGCAATGGTTTGTACTTGTTCTGATATTGTTCGATCTTTAATTGGTAAGTAGAGGACATGTAAACACCCAGTAGATTGGCAGATTTCCAGAGGGAGAGAGGAAGGCACCATCTGGACCATGGTTTTCCCCAAACACAGCCTGGAGTGGACTGAGACAAGAGTATCACTGGCAAACAAGATCCAAACTAAGAGATATAAGAGAAAGACATGGAGATTAATCACCAACAACTTTGTGTGGAAAAATTATGCTGGGATGACTGACACGACACTCGTCTGATGATTCAAAAAAGTCAATTTTCAGTTTGGTTATAAAACAACAATCGAATAGCGTGTTTATACAATACACCAAGATCAAGTGGCACTTTTATATTTGTTGATGCTTATCTTTCAAACTTCAAACAGAGAAGTAGACACAATATTAGACTTTAAATGCTGTGCCTGGAATCTAAGACAGCAGGTGATTCTATCAGGCCAATTTACAGGTCAGAGGTAAGAGATGAGTAATACAGGAGTAATATTACATATGTGCATTGTAAGCAATCGTGTCTCCACAGTGTCACCTCGCAGAAAACAACAGGCTGATAGAAAATGCACCTTTAACAAAAATAAATAAATAAAACACAAAAGTGGTGCCTTGCAGTGTCCATGGAAACCTCTATCATAAAACTGACTTTTCACTCTGAAGGCAGCAGCACCAATAACTTGTGACTGACTTTGTATGTCCCGTTAATTCCCCTGGCATTAAGATCTAACAGCATTTAATCCATGAGTGCTTCAGGAAATTACAAAATGCTTAAAACCAATGAATAGTTGTTGCTGATTTGTTATTAAAAAAAAAACTCCATGCCAATGAGTCTAGACGCTTGTGTTAGATAGTGCAGACAGGCCCGTCCCAAGGGGGGTGCGAGGCCCTGTGCGAACTCGAAACGCGAGGCCCTGCCCTGACACTTTTTTCCCAGATCTGAGGAAAGTTTTTCCTGTTATAATCTTTGACATGAATTCAGCACCACCTCGCGCGGTGCTTGACGAGATCAGCACGCGTGTAACCGAGTGTCTTCGCTCCTATGCAGCGTTTGGCGCGCGCACGTACACACGCACACACACTCTACGTGCAATATTGGTCGCGGTCTTTTTAGCTGACATGTCTCTTTCGTCCTGTGGCAAAATGGTAGAGCAACTCAAAAGATTGAACCAAAAGGAGTCTTTTTCTTCTAATAGTTAGATTTTGGCAAAATGCGCCAAAATGGCTATGAGGCGGAGTCAATATTATTTTTTTCTCATCAAATAACGTTTTTGCCATGCCTCCACACACTCTGACAACATACGCTCCTCCTCCTCCACACTGACAACAACAAAATACTCTTCACCTCCTCCTCCACACACTCTGACCACAACAAAAACACTCCAGCTAGCTAAAGCTAGACATACAGTGTGTTTGCTAATGCTTTTAAAAATATGTTTTTGATGTGGATATTCGGACTAAACATTGGCAATAGCAGCGCTCACACACCTGTCACACCGCTGATCCTCCTCCTCCTCCTCTGCTCACACAAAGGGGTCTGCTCCTCTGCTCACACCTGTCTCACTGCTCCTCCTCCGCGAGTATCCATCTCTCCTACACTGCGATCATTCCCGTTACTTTCTTTGTATCTCACTCAGACACTGCTAAAGTTATCTGACAGTTTTTTCGGAGGACCCGTTGCATACATAGCTGCCCGCGCGCCTGCCTGTTTACAAATCGCTTTTGGTGAAAATTTGACTTTACTTGTAAAAATGTTCTTTTGATCAAACGAAATCAAAGAGGTCCAGAGAAAGGGGTTTAGGGTTCCAAATTTGGAGTGCAGTCTGCCCTTTGGGGACCCTTGAACTAGTGTATTTATAAAATAAAATAAAAGGAAGGAAGATTGCGAGGCCCCTGTGTGGTGCGAGGCCCTGTGCGACGGCACAGGTCGCACAGCCCTTAGGACGGGCCTGAGTGCAGAATAGTTAAATACAATACAATGTTGCCAACCATTGGACAAGACCCACGTTGTGACCACCTGAGCCCCCGTTTCTGCCCCTGTGCGTCACTTACGTGTAATGTTGGGGGAACAGGAGCCCCTCTGCTCCGGGCCAAGGCGCGCTGCTGAGAAGAAAGATCATCTGAGCAGATAGGAAGCAGACAACGCTGCAAGACCTTTTGCCTATCGCCATTTTCCATTAATAATCTCGTCACGGGCTCTCGGGGTGTGAACGGAGCGCCTGGGACCGCGGTGCCCGGCTGGTGTGACTTCAAAGCTGCTGTGTGGACGAGCCTCAGTGCCGGGGAGATTTCATATCTGTGCGTGATGTCAAGTGGACGCGGAGGAGGCACGCAGCGCACGAGGATACGGCATAGCCGCCGAAGACGCTGTAGCTGATGCTGTAGATGCTGTAGATGCACTAATGCAGCTGCCAAGACACTGCAGAGGCTCCTCTCCTGCTCCCACACTCTGCACGGACACACATGCTCACACCCTCCTCACACGCACGCGCAGACACGGAGATGAGAGGCGAGAGCGCGCACAGCAGTCTCTCATCAGCACCGGCGCGCGTTCACGTTCACCAAGCAACAGTGGGCTTTATTATCACTGCAGAGCCACGTGGGGGTGATCCACCGTCGTTATTTAATTTTATTGCATTCAATTATGGCACGTATCTCTTTGTTTTCTTTTTGTAAGATTGAGATGTAGCTGATCAAACGGGAAAACAGTCCACATTCGGATGTTCATGCTGATTGAATGTTTTCCTTTGTACACCTACACGCTAAAAGGGCCAATTCAACTTCAATAACGTGTCTGTATACTGTCAGCTGTTGTTGTGAGGCACACAGATCAGAGTTGGACACAAGCACAAGCGGCAGATACAAAAAAATATAGAACTATAAGGCAGGACGAGATCAAAACCCGATGTGCTTTCAATGTATATAATTAAAGTGCTCTCTTGGAATATTACATCAGCTTTTTCTTCCAATCCTGGTCTGGTCTTTAGCCAATGAAGTATAGTACCACCTACGTGATACATGCAAGGTCTTCAAGATCATGCCGAAATCAATGTTAGTTCAGAATCAAAAACAAGCCTGTGCCACATTTGATGTGTTTGTTTTGTTGTGCTGCTTTTGTGCCATCTGCCTTCCATCCAATGCATGCGTCTACCTCTTGTCTCCTTGTGTACAAATCTGTATCTGAAGAAGGGCTTGTCCCAAAACGTCACAATGTGGTGTATCTGAATACAGATTGGAGAGCTTCTAGAACAGCTGTGGACATCATTTTCCGTCTCTTGTGTTTACAAATGTATGTCAATATTTTCGTGGCGTTATCCATCTCATCCATAATCTCATCCAATCTCATCATGAGCTTGATGCTGTCTATTTTTCACTTCAATGTATGTGAATTTTACATTATGCTGGCATACTTTGTCTTATAGGGTTTTCAACCAGTGTGCCTTGAGATGTTGTTTGGTGTGCCTTTTAAAATGATAAAAATATCACCTCATTGGTCAAAATAATGTGAAAAGAAAATACTGTGAGAAGATATGAAAGACCTTTTTGCACTATGAATTTCTATATAATACAGCTGATGAGAACAACTTGCGTTGTTAATAAAGGAGTTTAATTTTTGCATCAGTTTCAGCTGGTAGTCTACAATGTGATTATTTTAAATCAAAAAAGGTGGCCAATGTTGGAAATGACAAGTATAGCCATCATTATCATTCATTTGTTCTGTTATATTACTTTTCTATTACAAAAAAAACAAGATCCCTAAGTCCTATATTGGACCTATGTAGACAACACAATCATCTATACTTTACTGATGCCATTATGATATATGATGACTAAAAATGTGTGAAGAAACTGTTGTATGGCTTTTTAGCTAAAAGCAACTCTTAAAATGTTCTGTTTGGTAGCAGTCGTGGTCTGTGGCTACAGTAACTCCTCTGAGCGGCCAGAGTCCTGCAGAGGAGGTGCCTTTTCTCTCAGTCAGAGTGCTGCCCCAACATACAACCCGAAAGAAAACTGCACTGCCTACTGAGAAAAGACGTACATGTACAATCAGAAGTATACCTCAGGCCACCAGTTTGCTCCATTAAAGCTTCCCACAGAAAATGACAACAATTGTATCAATGATATGATAAATGCCTAGCAATTAGTTATGTAACACAAATACATATTAATGCAAAAGCCACCACATGGATGCCACTGGCAACTACCATACTCGGCTTGTACATCCTTCATGACCTTGACTTCACCTTGAAACAAAAAACCCAGGTGTTTTATGAAATCATGCTAGACAAGGACTGTGACTATGATGGAATTTCCACTTAAGATATTCTAATCAACAAATCTCTCGGAACATTCACAGTTGGACATGATAAGAATCCTGCGGTGTTATGGTGACATGAGCTGATGTTTGCGTGTTGAAGTTGAAGTATGTTTAGCAGTTACATGGAGCCTTATGGATGCTCTGACAGGATGACTGCACCTCTCTGGCCCCTCAGGGAGGAAGGATGTGGCTGGCAGCCCCATGTGTTAATACTGCTGTTGTGTCCTGGGGAGAGAGCAGCCTAATTACTGACTGCATGGCCTTCCTGCCAATCCCCCTCAGAGACACACACTGTTAATTAGCGGACAAATCCGAAGGGAGCTGAACTGTAGACTAGGGCAAACTTGAGCGTCTGCGAACACTGAAACACCTTTTATTAAAAATCAAAAGAACACGTTACTTGATTTAGCTCTATGTTAGTAAGTAAGTAAGTAAGTTTTTATTTATATACCGCCTTTTCACTGCAGATCTGAGTCTCAAAGCGGTTTACAATTGTTAATGTTGGGCATTTGTCTCTTACTCCACACAGAGATGGGAGCGGGGCCAGTACAGGAGGCACATGCCAGAACTATTGGACATATTTTTAGTGGTAGGGGAAACCGGAGTACCCGGAGGAAACCTACGCAGACACGGGGAGAACATGCAAACTCCACTCAGAAAGGCCCTGGTCCGGCCGGGATTCGAACCCAGGACCTTCTTGCTGAGAGGCGAGAGTGCTATCCACTCAGCCACCGTGCCGCCCTGTACACCATTAACATTAATGGTGTACTTACTAGTATTAGATTGGCTCTATATCCTTTTGACACGCGTGATAGATGTGAAAAATAAGTAACACTTTCAGATATGGACAAATATATTTATTAATTATTAAATAAAATACATACATAGTAAAAGATAAAAACAACCTAATTAAAAATCTAAATTATTTTCACAGCAATAGTTCCTGAAGGAAAATGTTAGTGAATGGATCTAAACTTCATGGCAGATACATGCGTTTGTGCCCAAATCCTGAGAAAGTAAACCTGTTGCTTTACTATTCATTGTTGATTAAAAGAAAAAGATACATCTTTGGTAGTATTTTTCAAGTATAATCGTGAGATACACATCAGAGGCCTACTTTTCTTCCGGCAGAGGAGGTACAGAGGCCAGCGCCGGGATGATCCTCTGGTAGATAATTATACCGTGAAGGAACACCCGCTCATTCAGGAACTCGTTGTGGTCGTGCAGTAGGATTGGAGTACGGTTCATCGGAGAAAAGCCAATGGCCGGGAGGCCAATCTGAGAACATTTCAACACCTGTCACCTCGTGGCTCAATGGTTTAGACTTGTCTGTCTTTATTAAACTTACTGCTCTGATGAAGCGGCTGTCAGTAGCAGCAGGAAAGATCTCCTTTTCCAATTTAATATTCCTGTTGTAAAATTGTGAAAGTATTTATTTACACACAAAATTATGTAAAGTCATAATAAAAAAATCAATTGTCTTCAGAAACTAAATCTATTAAAACTACATGTCCGAGATACTCACATTTCTGTGCAGGCTGCACTGAAGGCACTCCACCATGGATCTTTTTCCTCTGTCGAGGTCACCTTCTGATCCATATGTTTCTGAACAAAACAAAACTTTTTTTATATCAATGAAATGAGTAACTTCTCTTGTCTGCAACCTGCAGGCATTTAGACATCACTGCATTGTGTAAAATGTTCCACAATATGGTATCAAACATGTCCAGTTTTTCTGCTTGTCCTGCCATCTCTGGCACAATTACATGTTGATTAATGTGCACATGAAACTAAATAAACAAAAAGCCATGATCAAGTCTAAATCAATAAAACATTGAGGACACTCAGCCATGGAGATATGTAAATATTTCTTCTGATACCTCAAAGATCAAACTAATTTAAGTATGCTGGGAGTCATTTTAGGGAAAACATTGTAGAAGATATCTGGTTACCTGGGCAAAAGTATAGGTGACGTCATCTCCTGCTTCTTTACACCAATTTTTGATTTGACATTCAAACTCCTGAGGGGAATCAATACATTCATATTCAACCCTTAAGTGACAGTCAGTAAAAATGTTGTAGAAATTTTGAATCTTAGTTGACACAGACCTGAAGATTCACAGTAGGAGGGATCCTCAGGTCAAAACTAACGTCCATTTCGGCCGGGATCACATTGTAGGCCACGCCCCCTTTAACCATGGTCATATTCACAGTGGTCACATCCCCCAGAGTAAGGCACTCACTGGTGTTCAGCCTGCAAAAAGGTAAACGTTATTGTGTGAGGAAAATTATATTATCATCTGGCAGGCCACAGCCTTAGTGTAGCAACATTATTAAATTACATAAAATTATTGGAAATATCAATCGTGCGGCAAACAAATGAGCTGCAACTAATGAGTTCTTTTTCTAGTAACTTTGACCTTATTTACCAATATTTGTTAATTTATGCATTACATTACTAACCAGTAGATACTTAAATTGCAAGGAACACCCATGTTGCTATTTCAACAGCAAAACAAATATTCACTTGTGATATTTAGTCTGGCCTAACATTTGTTATAGGTAATTATAACACAGAAAATATTTTCTATTACAGCTGCACAAACTGACTTTTGAATGTGAGCACTGGCCTCACTCTTTCTGCTCGCCCTCCCCGCACGGATCTATCACCCCCCCATTGCCCCTCTGCTACCATTTTCTAAAACCAAGTGTTAATACAATGAGATATAATCACCTGTGTTTCTCTTTTTCTCTAAAGCCCAAGAAGGAGTTTATGATCTGATGCTGCAAGGTGAACAAGTCTTTCAGTGAAAATTCACACAATGCGATATATAAAGGCCTACATACAAGTTTCTCAGCTGCTGTGTTTTCCACAAATCTTGAGCCATGCCCAGGACTCCCTGGACAGTGGATTGTAATCCCTGAAAACCAAAACGACTTTTAGTTACATCCTTTACAAAAAATAATAAAATTGTATCAAACTCAATGACGAGCATCTACACACTTACACCAAGGGTTTCTTTCTCCATAGAAAACAGTGAAGGCCTCTGTGGGGTTAGCAAGACCTATGACACAAATAAATGTGAGGATATCTAGAAACCATGAATAGAATGCGATGAAAGAACAATGAAATATGAATTGTGTTGTTTTTAGCCTTTTAACCTGATATTGCAAGTGCCAGTTATTTATTTACCCTCGTCGAGTGCAAAGCCAATATTTAATTTGTGAAACTCTTCATGGTTCACAAATGTTTCCATCCCTTTATGGCCCCCAACTTCTTCATCTACAGAAACACAGTTTGTTAATTATCAGAATTCTGCTGCCAAACTATAAAAATCTAGCCAAAATCAACTGGCAACTGTCACTATGAACCTCAATTGCCAATTAGTTCTATCACTCTGATCTACCACTCGTTGACTACATGAGTGAAGCTGAAAATGAAGCATAAGAACAATATTTAGTTGCTGTAAAATATAAGAATTGAGTCTATTTTAAAGCCACTGTGGACCACCATTATTCTGCTTTATATTTTAATACCTCTTTTGGATCTTATTCTTTCAAACAAAGATTAGACTTTGTTTAAAAGAATAAGAATTAGACTTGTAACTAGGACTGATTATTTTTGTAACCAAGCAATCTATCAATGATTCTCTCTGATTATTCAAGCTATTCATTGTTTACATTAAATGCATATTTAACATAAAATATATGTACATTTTTGGAAAGTTTATGTAAAAAAATAAACCTTATTTTGCCCCCTTTTAAAAACAAAACAGAGTTTTAAAATTTAAGAGTTTTTGTTTTTTCAGACCAACTTACCAGGAACAAACATCAAGTGCACAGTGCGTGTTAATTTATGTCCCTGGGCCTTTAGTTTTCTGATAGCTTCAATGTATCTGTAAACAGAAAGTCAAAAGAAATACAGTTCAAACAGTAAACAAGACAGTTTATCTATGTTGGCTCAGATGGATCTACAGTGGTGCTAATAAACATTCACAAGTGATGTCCAAGTTATCAGTTTATACCCACTGTATAGTCACACATTTCATGTCCTGTGATCCACGGGCATAAATGTTGCCCTCTGCATCTTTGAAAGCACTGAAAGCATCATATTTCCAATGTTCCTGGAGAAGAGATTGATATCATATCTATTTTTTTCCCCATGTCTATCATCCGGAATGACAGGATGCAGACATTGACAAAGTGAGAAATCATACCGGGAAAACAGGGACCACATCTGTGTGGGAGTTTAGTAAAATGGACTTCAGTTTGGGGTTGGTTCCCTCCCAGGTCATGATAGTCACCACCCTGCCAGGAAATACCTGAGGGAAAGGAAAAGTTTATTTTAAAACATATCAGTAGGATTACTAGGGCTGTAAGAAATCATTATTATGAATCAATCCAGGGATTCTTTTGATTACATGTTTGGAACATACTGTAAAATAGTAGATCTCATGCTGACCACGATAAGCTCAAAGTGAAGCCACCAGGGCAGATCTGAACCACTTGACGTGAGATAAACCATTGTCCCATTAAAATAAAACATTTTGACACAATTATTTATGTCATATATTTCTTGTTTGATTTTTGAAATCACATCTCTCAGCAAGGAAAAAGATCCATAGTTATGATTAATCATTACAGCACAAATGATGACAATAAATGATTGGAAGCCTCGTCATATATAACTTTGCTTTATATAGCACTGGAATTTCCACATTATGAATATGGGCCGCAGGCTCAGTTATATGGAGTCCCACACATTCTTTTGCAAATGTCCAACACATCGCTTATTAGTGCCTGACCTATTTGAAATCATAATTCTGATTTCAAGTATGGATTCCGAGGGTCAATGGAAATTAAGTGAGGTTAAGGTACATTTTTATTGATCCTGTAGGGCAGGGGTGTCAAACTCAGATACAGAGTGACGAAAATTTTAAACTGAACAAAGCCGCAGGTCAAGGTTGAACGAATTAACCTTTTAATAGGCACCCAAACAAGTTTTGCATTGAACTTTACATTACCTTTTTCATCAGGCCAATAAATTTTAAAATAAAATAAAAATGAATAAATCGACCATTCTGGCCCTTTTACTTCTCACTTTGGTCTGATGTGCCCAGATACCTGGAACCTTTTCTTGGATACTAGTTAATGAAAGTCAGGGTTCAGGCTTTGAACATTAGTCAGACGTATCCTGTGACACGTTTTTGTCATCTTCATTGAGGCGCCAAAACATCAGACTACAGATGCAGAGCATTATGGGATTTGTAGTATTAGCGGTGAATACAGTGTTACAGCGGCACCACCGCTGTATAAAACCAGCAGGCCAGCTCTAATGTTCATTTGATGTTGCCCAAGGGCCAAATGAAATTTCACGGCCAAATTGGAGTTTGACACCCATGCTATAAGGCAATTGGACCTCTGCATTTGACCCAACCTACAATGCCACCTCCAGACGCCCAGAGAACCATCTCCAGATCTACCCGTGTTGGAGGATTTGACCAATCGTACATGTTTTTAGTAGTAAGGGAAACTGGAGCACCCAGCGAGACCTACGCAGACACTGGGAGAACATGCAAACTCCACTCAGAAAATCCCGGTCTGGAGGTAGCATTGAACCCAGGACCTTGCTAAGAAGTGAATGCTAACCACTCAGCCACTGTCATAAGGTTATGACAAACCTCTATCTTCTTTATGGGCAGGTCCAGTTCTTTGGAAATTCTGTCCAGAAACTTAAGCGCCACATCTGTCAGCAAACAAACAATATTTAACATGTTAAAAAATAAGTCACAACATCCAATATGTTAACAATAACTTAAAAATATGACAATAACATGTTTTACTGTTTGATATTTATTAAATGATAAAAAACAACACCTTTGTCAAAGAGCCGCAGGCAGCTGTATATTGTTTTGCGGCATTAAAGCTTATACAAGTTGATGTATTGTTAAATTGTGATGTCTACATCTCCTGGTTAAAGCTGCTGACATTGAAAGGCAGTTGCAAGTGTGTGCATGGATAAAATGTAAAGATTGATAATGTGAACTAAAGGTAAATACGGTGTGCTCTCACCATAGTCCGGCTCTGGGTGCACAGTCTTGAGGCGGAGGTACTGTCTGAACAGACTGACTGAGGGGTCCTCTCCCTCAGAGGAACAGCTGCTCCCACTGCCCAGAGCTGGACCATCTTTGTCAGGAAGCATAATGGGTGCAGACGTCAAGCAAGGCCTCTAAAACATAAATAAAACACTTTGAAGAGGCAGCATTACAGCAGTGCAGGACCTGAAAAAAATACAAGTCAAAAAACTATTCATTTAAAATCAATACATACACTTTGCATATAATTACTGCACTTAAAAGTTTTGTTAGCTTTCTAGAATTGTCTATTTGTTTCAATCAATAAGCATCTAACTAACTATAGTTATTAACAATATTAAGATAACATACAATACTGTACTACATTTTTCTGACCCAACACTTCTGCTGTATGAGGGGATTTTGTTCCCGTTGTAGTTCGGTCGCTAAAGTGATTTGAGCCGTTGTTTGATCAACCATTAACTCATAACAAGAGTCGACCTTTAGTTTTCCTGCTGATTGTTTTCACACTAGCGAATGTTTCACTGTACGTTCCACCTGCTTTAGAGTCACTGGATTGACAAGTGCAATAGCGTTGATACGATGCATGATGTCACTGGGAGCGGAGTGTGGTGTAGTCAGGATCCAGTGAGTCCAGTGAGAGCAGTGATAGAAGTTTATCCCGCAGTGCAAAGTCAGGGCACGGGAAAGGACACATGTACAATCCTTTTTGTTAGCTAGCAAACGCTACACTGTCATTTGAGGATTTCCAATGCATTTTCACTCTACCTATTAAACCTGCATGAATACTTTGCAGACTAGTCCCAGCAGCTCAAAGGCAGAAGAAAGACAATAGATGCAAAAGCTTCGAGAACTCACCTCGTGCTGCTCTGATGAACAGCGCTGTCAGCTGAGCGCCACTTCCGCTTTTCACAATAAGATTATGACTTATTATATACAGTCTATGATTATGACGCAACCATAGATCTATTACATTAATACTACGGTACAGAGGCATAGATCATGTATTACATTAATACTGTACAGGGGCATAGATGTATTACATTAGTACTACTGTAAAGGGGCATAACTGTATTACATTGATACTACTGTACAGAGACATTCATTACATGGATACTACTGTCCAGAGGCATTTTTCTCACAAAGGAATTAGGAATATGGTGCAATTGCTCTATAAGAATAAAATATTAAGATAAAGTAATCTATTTTTCACAAATTGTAGTTAAGAGTATTTTGAGTACTGAGTGTATGGTTTTGAGTTTGGTAGTAAGGCCTATTTTATTACATGAGTTCTTGGTTACATCCCTCCCACCATGTTATCAATCACAGGAAGTGAAATTATAAATGAAATGTTCAAAATCTGATTGCATTTTTTAAAAATAATTTACAAAATCTTAAATGATTGGGTCAAAAGTAGAGTCAGCACCTTAATAGTCTGAAGGGGATTTGAGGGAAACACTGGTACTACTGGCTGTGAGCTTCCGACTCTTCATCCTCACTTTCAACAGCTGAAATATACGCACATCAGCAAGTAATCTTTTATTGCATTCTCTTTTGTTGATATGACTTAAGTACAAGTTTGATATTGTGAAAATGGAGTACTGACCGAAAACAATACAAAGAGAAAATCTGCTCGGCTGCATAGCAAAAAATAAATTAGGTAAAACAATGCTGTGTTTTCTTATACATATTTTCAATAAAAGACAACAAAAACGGCAATAGCAAAGCAGAACACACTTCACCTTTACACATGCAGTAACACAATGCACAAAGCAGTCTCATGAAAAAGCCTGGAGTGATGTTAAGGAGATAATATTGAAGAGATGATCTGCTATTGTAGGTTTAGTTAATATTACAAACACTGGAAATAGTGTTTAACAGATGCTAGCTGCCCCCACATGAACTGTGCCACCAGAATGCTTACCCATTGCTTATACTAATTACACACTTTTAATACATTTAAACATTTCTGAGGAAGTTGATCAGTCCGTGGTGAAACTCTTTGGGCTTGTCCATGTAACAGGCGTGACGCGCTCCTTCCAGCTTGAGCACAGAGGCATGTGGAAGCTGCAGCAGGTTTTTGTGCGATTGTGCACCCAGGTTAGTGTCCAAAGCCCCAAAGACAATCAGAGTGGGAGTCTGTGGACAAGAAAATGTTGCCTAGTACATTCATGGGAGCATAGACTTATCAATCAATTGTATGTGTACATTAAACATTAAGATCTACATAAACATTAAACAATTAAAAACAAACATTAAGATCACAAGAAATATTAAAAACAGAAAAAAGTATACAGGTAATTGAAAACCTTAAGACATTAAATCACACATGGGATTTAAATCATAAATAGCCACAGTATATCAAAAAGAGTAACAATAAAAATCCTTCATAAAATATTATACTGAGAACAACATTCTTACCTGAACATTTTGGTACTGCTGAGGAGTGTAACTTCTGGTCCCAACAGGTGCTATGGGGATAAATGCTTGTAACTTTGCGCTGTTCTTCATGAGGAACGGGATCGAGTAATGTCCGCTCATGGAAGGGCTGACGAGCACCGCGTACCTGATCCCCAAAGACTCCATGAACCGAGAGAGAAGATCCACGCGGCTCTGGTCTGTCTTTAGGGACTCGGAATCTGGCGATTTTCCGTAACCTTCAGGAAAGAGGACAAACAAAATACACGTATAACTAAAATGCAATAATAGTTTCAAACTTCGAAATTTGGTGATTCATCCAAAGTACTAAATTATTGTCAATTTATTTTGCCATAAGGAACTTTTTCTTATATAGATGCAATTTATGATGAGTGTTAGTAATAGTGATCAGTAATAGACATATGGTTTCATTTTGTGGGGATTATTTACGAAATAATAACACTGGGTAACAATAAAATATTTTTTGAAAATAGTCCAGGGTTTTCCAGCTGAATTAGACTAATTTTGATGCTCTGAGTCCAAAAATGACCTTGGTTTTGCTCAATCAGGTCAGGATATTTTGCTGCAGATTTAAAAAAAAATCATCAGCTGAGAAACCCTTGAAGTTTTTTCCGTTTTCCTCAAGAAATAAAAGTCAACGTATCCAAAGTCATTCCGTTTTTATTTACTCCATCAAATTTGATAAGCAGAATTCATAATAACTTAGACGTACAGTGGCTAAGTGGATAGCACTCTCGCCTCTCAGCAAGAAGGTCCTGGGTTCGAATCCCGGTTGGACCAGGGCCTTTCTGAGTGGAGTTTGCATGTTCTCCCCGTGTCTGCGTAGGTTTCCTCCGGGTGCTCCGGTTTCCCCTACCACTAAAAATATGTACAATAGGTCTGGCATGTGCCTCCTGTACTGGCACCACTACTCCCAAAAATAACAATTGTAAATCGCTTTGAGACTCCGATGTGCAGTGAAAAAGGCGGTATATAAATAAAATAAAGATTACTACGTAATCCGTAACACTATGGCTGTATCTCAAAAAGTTGACCTGATAGAGCAAAATGCATGTGATATTCGGACTCAGAACACCAAAATTAGTCTAAATCAGTCGAGAAACCCCTGACCATTTTTTGGCTGTCAACTTGTGTAATGAATGTCCGAAATAATTGTTCCATTTCATGACAAGCTAAAAACACATATGAAACTGGAATGTGCATAAGGACATAGGGCATTATTGTTATTATATTTCAGTGAGCTGATATTGAGGAGTAAAACCCTCTATAGTGGTGTATGGGAGGGCGAAACTTAATCCATGACTCCACGGTGTGCTAAGCAAGGGAGTAGAAACTGATGACATGCAGACGGAATTGCACAGTATTATGGCGTTTATTGCAGAGAGTAATAATGGATCAGGCACTTACTGGGAACGTTATTATGTATGATGATGATACTGTACCTCAATAACACAGTGCAGATATTTCATTGGAAAACATGCGGTCAACAGAAAGTTCCTTCCCAAGCTCACCCCACCGCCATGACACAGGCACACACACAAACACAGCTGAAGTGAGCGTGTGCGCCAAATAGACAACCACACCCACAGTGCAGCCGTGCTTGATAATATATGCGCGTGCAAGTCCTAATCACAATCACACAGGAAAACTAAAACCCTGAATGGCTCCTACACTTTCAAAATAATAAACATGCAAATAAATACACTTTGGAAATTAAATTCAATGAAACAAGTTCAGTTTAAGTCCTGATTGACAGCACTACCACATCCTCATTGAGATGCAACGGTTTTTATAATCTGTAAATTGTATGTATTTGTGCGTAACTTTTGCTCCTCTTGTCCAGGACTCCCTTGAAAAAGTCACCCGCGACTTTCCAAGTTAAATAAAGGTTAGATACAAAAGAACATAAACATTGGAGAATAATTAAATGGCCAATGTTGTTGTGTGTGCTAAAACAAATAAAGACAAAGCATTAATATTATCTTTCTGCATGTACCTCACTTTTTTCGTTTCCTGAATTCAATTGTGTGTCTACAGTCTTATTTGAGAACAAAACTTGCACATTTCAGACCATAACATATAGTGTCCATCTAATTAGGAACATTTTTATCTTTCTTTTTGTGAAAAAGCTGATCTTAAGAAGTGACCAAGGCCAAAAATACATGCATGTGGAGACTGTGGGAAAACCAATTGAGCAAGGAACAAGTTGCTTGAATTTTTTTTTATCACATTTTTTGTGGTTTTAAAAGTTGGGCTCTCCAACTTTATTTACCATTCCTATTTTGATTGTGTATTTTATTTTTTTCAACATGCTTTATTTAGGCAAGGCAAAGCATTTACCTGAAAGCTCATCTATTTTGAATAAATAACTTTAATAACCATGAAACGGCTTAAAAAACAAAATTCAACAAAGTCAGGTGCAGAAGTCGCTCTGAACGTAATTTTCACATAGATAATATTAACTTTATTAATCTCAATATGGAGAAATTTACATTCACATATGGATTTGCTTGATCTTGAGTCTAGATCTTAAATGTTGAGAATGTTTGGATCTGCTGAAGTAGGCCCCGCCTGGTCCACACCATCATACGAATAAGTCTCTTTTAGTGGTCCCTAAGACCAGAAAGAAGTTGAGAGGGGATCAGGCTTTTGCAGCAGCAGCCCCCAGACTGTGGAATGGTCTGACTCTCCACATTAGACTGGCGGACTCACTTCCTGTTTTTAAGTCGCTTCTTAAGACACATCTTTTTACTTTGGCGTTTAACTCAGTGGGTTGACTTTCTGTGCAATTTGTATTCTTGTATATGATTCTGTATTATATTGTGTTTTTAGACTTGTGTTCAGCACATTGGTCAACTGTGTTGTTTTTAAAGTGCTCTATAAATAAAGTTGAATTGAATAAGAGGGAAATGATATTTGACCAGAGTTTACGGATGGCTAAGGCCAGGCTACATTTAACCATAATCAACAAAATATCTTTTAATAAAAAGTATTATGGTTGAAGCCATTTGAAATAATGCAAGCGTTCTTTACAACATATTTAATTTAATTCAATTATATTTACCTGGCAGATCCACAGCTAGAGTCTGATATCCATGAGTAGCTAGTATTGACATGGTTCCCAGTTCTTCCCATGTTTTGGATGTGAAGGCTTGGCCATGCAGCATGACAATCTGTAACCTTTAAACAAAAAAAAACAATTTAACGTTCTAACTTTTTTTTTTTTTAAGTCACTTAAAGTAACTCACCTTGGTAACATCTGCCGACCAGCAGCATCGACAGGTAATGCCTCTCTAAAGAACAGAGGGGGGTCTCCAGGGAGCTGTCCAGTGCGAATAGAGACATTGACGCTGGCAACAAGAGGAGGAGAGGTGGCCGAAGTCTTCTGAGCGTCCAGTGAAGGTTCCATGCTGCCTTGGCGAATGGCTGGCAGCAGCAAATACAGCAGCAGTGTGGCCAGCAAAACCAATCCCAGAACAACAAGTCGATTACGCAGGAAATTCATTGCAAGACTTCTGGGATATATCTGAAAAAAACCATAAAAGTTTTTTTCTTTCCATAAAAACACAAAGTTTAAAATTTACATTTTTGGCCCTGACAAGTCACCCCCAATCAGATTTAGAATAAAAAAAAGAATTACTACATAGGAATAAGATATTTGTCTATTAATTTACTGTAAAGTCAGGTCCAAAAATGTTGAAGACATTTACAGAATTTTGATAGTTTTGACTCTATTCACCATCACAATAGATTTGAAACGAAAACACAAAAATACTCCAAATCAAGAGGGAGGTGTATATGAATTATTGAACAAGGCTGTTCCCCACTTTGAAGTAAGCTTTATTTTATTTTATTTATATACCGCCTTTCACAGACCAGAGTCACAAAGCGGTTTACAATTGTTATTTTTTTGGGCACTTGTCCTCTTACTCCACACAGAGATGGGAGCGGGGTCGCCGAACAGGAGGCGCATGCCAGACCTATTGTACATATTTTTAGTGGTAGGGGAAACCGGAGTACCCAGAGGAAACTTACGCAGACACGGGGAGAACATGCAAACTCAACTCAGAAAAGCCCTGGTCCTGCCGGGATTCGAACCCAGGACCTTCTTGCTGAGAGGCTATCCACTAAACAACCGTGCCGCCCTTTGAGGGCTACAAAGATTTGCGACTATTGTTGCTTAGCAGGGCATGTCACATGCTATACACAGAGTAGATTCCAAGTGTGTTACTTGTATCTTTAATTATTGTTAATTCTAAATAAACCACTTTCCCACACGCTGCTGAACATCCAGGGGGTGGACATTGAGCTGGTGGACAGCTTCAAGTACCTGGGTGTTCACATTAACAATAAACTGGACTGGTCCCATAACACCAACGCTCTGCACAAGAAGGGCCAAAGTCGCCTCTTCCTTCTGAGGAGGCTGAGGTCCTTCGGAGTGAGCAGGCCTCTGCTCAGGACTTTTTATGACTCTGTGGTAGCTTCTGCCATTTACTACGCTGCCGTGTGCTGGGCCCCGGGCAGCACAGAGCAGGACAGAAGTAGACTGAACAAGCTGGTCGGGAGGGCCAGCTCCACTCTGGGCTGCCCCCTGGACTCTGGAGGTGGTGAGGGACAGGAGGCCCCTGGACTCTGTGGAAAAGTCACCTCCATCATGAACACCTCCCTCCGACTGCACAGGACTATAGAGGAGCTGAGGAGCTCTCAGTGCAGGAAGGAGCGCTACTGCAGGGCCTGTATCCCCACCGCTGTCAGACTGTACAATAAGTCATTTTAAGTAACTTGCATTAGGACTGAAAAAACCTGCACTACTATAGACACTTTCTTGATTGCCACTTTTTATTGTACATAATATATCCTGCATGTTTACACGTTTCTTTCTTTTGCACAATCTTAGTGTTTCTATCCATGCCAGATGTGACATGTAATTTTCTCCTGTGTGAGATCAACAAAGTCTATCTTATCTTAAATTGTAGTCAAAGACATGGTACTGTCAGTAAAGAAAGCTGTCAAATATGCAAATGAAGAGAAATGAAACACCTGGAAGCTCCAGACAAGGATATTGCACTGGTGGACCTTACTTTTTCATGCAGCTGCACGAGTTTTTTTTTCTTTAGATACACTAGGAAACCAATTGCCATATTTCATAACAATGAGATGATTTTAAATAGACTAGCTAATATAACGGAATTAATACAACATAAATACACATTTGGACACCATGTATTGATACATAGTTCATAACTTGGCAGTACACTAATGCAGACAGCTGGACAGAAAGGGTCCAGCTGTCTTTTATCAATCCATTACATAGGACTGTACTGGCCAAAATGTTGGGTGCACATTGGATCATCTGCCTACATATTGAAAATGAACATTAAATGTAACATTGTTCATGACCGTCTTTACATCGACAATGACAAAAGGACATACTCACAATAGTATTGAAGCTAAGCCGGGTTACTGTGACAGAGAAATGGCAGTGGTGTCCTCCGTCATGGCTCCTGCGGTCTTCAACGACAAACTGCAGTCGCGGTAAGTTACAGCTCTGACGCTATGCTCATTTGGAGCATAACTAAAATATCTAAAATATCATCATGAGACTAACTATCAGTTTGTGTCGCAAATCAATGGATTTGAAGAAAGGATGTGCTGTGGGCATTTCTGTAGTCTATGGACCATGCACTGGTCCCGCTCGATTTCCTGTCGGATCACATTTGGGGTTGCACAAAACAATGACGAGTATTGCGTCATTTCCTGGCACTTGTTTACTTATCATTTACATTTAACAATCACACATTATTGTGTGAGGTTTAACTAACACCACTTGCTTGGGTTGGTGTTGTGAGGAAACATTTACAAATAAGCAGAGAACATACATTTATTTATTGGAAAATAACAATTCACACAATATGGATTCCGTCCAGAACTACTTGCAAATTACACACAGGACAGGGATGTACTTTACAATTTTGGAATAATTTCCATTTTCTCTACACACAGTAATGACAGAACTGAAGCTGAACACCTGGCATATGAAATGAATGGTAACTGTAATTGTCTGAGGTCAATGGTTGTTGAATTACGTTTCTACTTTACTTAAAAATCTACTTATTTCTCACCAAACTTGAGAATAAATCGAGGCAAAAGCCATTCATCTGACAAATTAAAAAACCCTGAAAACTTCAAATCAGTCTAAAATGTATTAAAACGTGACTGTAGAAAAACAATTGTCTAAAGACTAATAGACTAAGACTAATAGACCAAGCCATTTAAAACAACATTAATTTGTCTTTCCTAACCCACTAGACACTCACTGTAGTGAGAAGAGAAAGTAGTAAACACAAGATGAGGTCCAGCAAAACAAAATCGTAAAGTGCATATAATACTGCTTAGAGAAAAGAGGGAGTAAGAGTTACAATTCTTTAAAAAAGGCAAATAACACAATGCACTGTAATAAAATAAAATAACTATTACTTATACATGAAAAAAAAAAAAGATACAATTAATATTAGTGCAGTCATTATTACAGATAGATTTTGATGTTACTGGTATGAAATACTACAAATACATATAATCCATGACATGTGTTGCTAGTGTTTCCACACAGTCTTTTGCAAACAAAATCCACACTGTTCTTTTAACAAATTACTTCTGGAATAACAATGTCAAAATAATTAATGTAAACAATGCCATTGTCAATGTAAATAAAATGAATTAGGCAATTAAAGCTGGGAGATGTAAACAACAAAGCATAATTAATTGAGCATTTATCTCATTAGAAAATTAGGAATAAAGTATACGAAGATTTTTTCCTGATTATTATTAATTTACAAACAGCACAGAGCTCACATAAGAAAGGGATATCAAAAATATTAAAACTGGCCCAGCCATGTTTTGTTGTGCTCATTATAGTCTTTCTGAGCATGCTCAGTGCAGCACAGTAAGGAGTCCTAGAGGAAACATGAGGCAGAGATGCCAGGCTGTCGTCACAGAGGAGGCTTTATTCAGTCCTCCTGCTCTCTGAGTGCAGCCCTCGCCTGTGTACCCAGTATAACACTGGCAATGGAAATGTGTGCGGAAGTGTGTCAGCTCTGCCTTTCCTACTGCTCCTCTCACCTTTAACTGGCCGCTTAGGCTGATGATACTGTGGCTTGAGGAGTCGAGATGAAGATACACGTCCTGATCAGGCCTTTTACGAAGGCAGCGACCGCGGGACTTACACAGGCTCTCGCTGCACACTTCTGCTGCTGTCGACACGTTCAGAAGGTAACTTCCCAATGAGCCCATGAGATATTCGTTTAGATTAGAGCAGCTGGACTATAAAAACATAAATGTCAGTGCAGAAGTGAATTAAACAGAGACATAAGGCAGGACACTTACAGGACTGCTTGCATAAGATGTGTCTCCCCAGAATATTACACCAGCTGCTCCCAGAGCCACGCTTTCACCAATGGTTGAGATTAGGTCCATCTGCAAAAATAGTTCAAACAGAAACATAGCTTTTGAATCCATTCATTATATTCCACTACATTTGTTGATGGCAGCAGTCGAATAAACGTAGACTTCATCATCCACACTTCACCAGCCGATTTGGTTGCATCCTGAGGTGTTCCCAGGCAAGCTGAGAAATATTGTCCCTCCAGCGTGTCCTGGGTCTCCCCCAGTGCCTCCTCCTGATGGAGCCTCCAGAGGCATCTATAACAGATGCCAGAGCCCTCTTAACTGGCTCCTCTCAAGATTGAGGAGCAGCAGCTCTTCTCAGAGTTCCCACTCCGTGCCTTACCCCACCTCTCAAGGGAGTGCTTAGCCACTCAGCGGAGGAGTCCTTTGAAATGTTTGCATTTGTGATCTTGTCCTTTCAGTTATTACCCAAAGCTCATGAACATAAGTGGTAACGTATTGACTGATAAATCAAATATTGAGTCTGCTCCCTTTTCACCACGACAGAAGATACCACATTGATCAGTTTGTCAATCCCTGGTTTGATGAAGCCAACATCATACACAAATAGCAGTGATGCAATCTTGTGATCACTTAATTGAATTCCCTGAATCACCTAAAAGTATTCCTTCCACTGTCTGACCATAGTTGCAGCAGCCATACATCGTTCTATAAACACATGCTTCCCCCCTCCTGAGGTAGACTGTATAGTACAGTTCATACACAAGGCAATTCATAGTCAAATGTTCCCCAACTCCCTGTAAAAAAGCTCTACCTGAGGTGTGAGTTGACAATCCGTCTGACAGAGGGCTCTGGAAGATGCTTCCAGTAGAACCTCATCATACCAGCTTCCTCCCCTGTCAGCGAATCCAACTCACAACCTGGTGGTGATCTGTTGACAGCGCCGCTCCCACTTTACCAGAACAAAGTTCATCATCACTTTTGCATTATTTGATGATTTAAATATAATAAAAAAACACTAACCTCAGAAAGAGGTGTTGTCTGACCGATGTAGGTGGGTCGGGTGTAAACAAAAACAGGCCGTGTAACACCCTTTCCAACAGATGCTACGCGAATAGCCTCTTTCACTCTGTTTCGCACAAAAAGCCTGCCATGTTTGGTTGAACGCAGAACAGGACCCATGTAAATAGAAGGGAAAAGTGCAGTGGATTCCATCCACAGCCAGTTGAGCTGGTCATTGCGGGACATTTCCCGGTCTGGGCAACGACCTGTGTAGTTATCCAGACCATTCTGATAATTATGGTTATAACAGTCAGGAAACAAATAGAAGCCCCACAGTTGATTAGGCCTCAGGTTTTTGGCATATTTTAGAGTCTCATGCATGAATTTCCGAGCAGCCTGTTCAAACTCTTGGTGAGCCACTTTAGCCACTTGTTCAGTGCCCCAAGTGGGATTGCTTTTTGCAACTTCCTCCTTGGACTTATTACGATAGATATCTTTAATGTCCCAGTTTCTGATCCAAAGAGGCCTCCACTCCTCCCAGTCAATGACTGCCAGTCCTTTTGCATCTGGCTCCCTTATGTACTTCTGCACCCCCTCAGGCATCTTTCCATAGTGTTGAGTGATGTTGGCCAGTTGTGGTAGTCCTCCATTAATCGAGTTTCCTCCTTGCTTGTAATAGGGATACAGACCAAGACGCTCCTTGTAAAAAATAGTGAGATTTTGTCGAACAAATCCTTCGTTTGGAGATGCAACAATATAAAACTGATTCAATGACAGGGTTACACGGTGGCGAGGGTGACAGTCCTCTGTGGGCGCATTCCAGACTAGAAGAAGAGGCTTCTTTGAATATAATGGCCATCTTGTCTGCTTTGGGTCAGCTGAGCACAGGACAGTGATCCATGGACAAGACAGGAGAACAACAATGTTAAGATAAAGCTCCATGTATGCTCCCAGTCTGCTTTCTCTATAAAAACAAAAGAGATTTATAAGAAGGATACCTTTCATTAACAGAAGATACAGTCACATGCTTCACATTGCTAGTATTTTTTCATTCATGGAAACATGAAACATCTCAGCCTCGAATTAGGGAAGTCGGTGAGAGTTGACTTCAGCCACTAACGATACATATGAACACGAAACAAACTTATTATAGTATCTTTCTTTTTCCCTTAAAAGACTAAGAACTCAATAGTAGGTTTTTGTCTCATACCTGTTCCGTCGTGGTGGCACAAGTTTCCACAGACAATCTGCCAAAGGACAAATGAAACATATGGTATGCCTGTCTTCTCCACCGCTGTGCCATGAGATTAAAAGAATAACAGCCACCATGCCATGCTTAAGACGTTCACTTCGAGAGCACACATTCACAAAAAGAACGTCTGAACAAATAAGAGGAAATGCTCAAGGAAATGTGGGGCAACTATGGACCCGTCCATTGCCAGGTGCGTGTGGGTGGGCTGTGGATGTGGGTGTAGGTCATAGATTGTAAATATTTGATACATGGCTCAAGTTTAGATTACATATGCTCCATAAAGCCACACCATAGGTGTCACTCTGCATATTCAAAATACTAAAAGTGAAGAGTGAAAGGGAGAAATGCAGGATTCAAGAGAGTTTCCACCCCTCTCCTTTACTAATACATTTGGTCTGTTCCACAATGTTTAACCCTTATTGCCCTCCTACTTCACACAATTGTAGTTAATATCATTCACGTATACCTGTTCTGCTTTTTTCCACTGGGTATCATTGTAATAGAGAATATGCATGATTCATCTGCGGTGGGGGTTGTGGAGGGTTGGATCATAGACGGCTGGTCATATAAATGTCTATGGGAACCATGGATCATTGATGATATGGGGACATATTTGCTTTTTAGACAAACATTTAAAAAAGGAAAGGGAAACTTGGGAGCCAAATTAGTGTTTTCTGTGTGTCTACGGCCATCGTTTTGTTTTAACCTTATTATGGAGGAATATCGGTATTTTAGTTTTAATTATTATATTAATTTATGTGTTTTTTGGTTTTGTTTGGGGTTTGAGTTAGATTTTTTTGGGATAATTTTTTACTGGGACAGAAACATCGAAACGTGAATGAGGTACTGTGTGGGGCCCAGCCTGCAGTTCGCTCTAGATAAAGTTGGTATAAATAATTAATATCTTAAGGATTAAAGCCAAAGATAAATAAAAACACACACATTTTAGTGTTTCATAATGTATTTAAAAATTAACAATAAATTAAAAGTGGGAAACATATGCAGCATAAAGCAGCAAAGAAAACAAAACATGATTTCATATTTGACACTGGTCCTGTACACAAGTTTTCACTGGTCAAACTGAGATGGCAAAGTCATTAGTTCAACATCACAGTCCACTTGATTGTCAACTCAGCTGGATCCGTTACCATCGTGCATGCTAACATAATTCACACAAAAACCAGTATACTTTCCACCTTCAGCTTGGACAGATTAATTCACACATAATGGTGAATCCTCCAAGAAAAGCAACCTGCAGCCAAAGCAATCTGCCTTTGTTGATCTTAACAAACCAGCGTGCGCACTCACCAAGAAATATCTGTAAACACTTTGCCCAATTGGCACAGTTGTAATTAGTCACCAGTGACCTATGGTGTGTCTGTCTTACAGCACACTGGGCCAGATCACATGCAGAGGCTTAAAACAGCATCAGCCTGTCTGCATAGGGACTTCAGAAAGGCCAGGAAATCACGATTTTTTTCAAAAGGTGGTCAGTCCTCTGCTTTGGACCACAGGACGGAGTGGACCATCATCTGTTGAGACTCCACCAGATCAAGCTTCACAAATGACAATTGGGAAATCTACATGAATGCATGGGTGATCCAGCTTAATAATTCCCTTAAAAAAAATAACAAAAGACAGGTTTAGAACTAACAATAAGAGAGTGAATCTTTATTAGATCATGTACATACCTGAGGTGTAAGATTCTTTTGAACTCGTTTGAGCTTGGCCTTTTTCCGGCCATTCTTTGTCACAATCGTTTCTTCATAAAACTCATGCGCCAAGTCTCCGTCTTCATCAAAGAACATAGAGCTGAAACAAAATCAAGTGTTTACTTAACATAAATCATTGATATCATCAATTCTATATTCAGACTCATATCAATATTTATTCTAGAAAAAGAAATACAATGTTCAAGAATGGAAAACGTGTCATCATGCTTCCGGTCAGGACATAGTTCCATACAGTCCATAGTTCTTACCTGCGTCTAGTGAATACAAAAGGTGTTGCACCATGAAAAGTTTTAAATCTTGAGAGTGTCTGTTCATTTGTGTCTTTAACTGTATCATCAACACTGCTTGAGCCAGAAAAAGGCCAGAATCCCTTGGATTTGGAGCCACTACCCCCCATCTTTAGCTGCAGCACATTATATTCCTGGATCTCAAACTGCTGATGTCCAACTGCACCAGATGATGAAGTGACCTACAGGGTTCAGAACGATAGACCTGAAATAGACAAGTGACAGTAAGATGACAGCCTTGTTGTAATTATATATACTTATACATATATGGGCAAATGAAAGAGGGGTATAAAGACAAACACTCATGAAGTACACAAATGAAGCAACGTTAATGTTGAAGAAAACAGCGTTGAGATGCACACACTGTACACCACAAGTGGCTTACTATTTACATTGGAAACAACCACCGCCTGCTATTAATCAAGAGACAAATTAGAGAGTTTGATCATCCGTGGTTCACGGTAACCACTTCACGTTCTTAAAGAGAGAGTATTGACCCTGTACAACCAGCTCGTTTAGGCGTTAGCATTAGCCTCTGTAGCTACTCTGAACCTACAATATCACAGCAATCTGCGTTTAAGAGTTTTAATAAACAATACACACTCTTTGGGTGGATAACGTTCCAAATACAGTACGTGAACACAAACCTTAGCGGCTGTCACCAAAAGGGTAGAAACTTAATATTTTGTCTTGATAGTGAGCTAAAGGCTAAAGCTGCTCCGCTAACGCTAAACCTGCCTCTACTGTTGATACTGTGGACATCCGCACAAACTAGCGCCGCCTAGTGGATAACATACTGTAACACTGGTAACACCATGTCAGGAAGATGAACAATATTTTGTGAACTATAAGTTCACAGGATGTAGGTCCTTTTCCAGCTTTGTTGTTGTGAGTGTTTGGTTCATTTGAGTGAATATTTGAAATAAAGTCAACAGTCAAGCTCTGATATTGGTAAACCATACCGGAATTTGTCCCATTCATTATTATTTGTATGAGTGTTCTTTTTATTCCTACATTTCTGTAATGCGCAGCAACACTGAGGGATCACAGAAAAAATTATATACTGCTTCTGGATGAACAGTCTTTGAAAAAAGCAGGAGGAAGCCCTCAATATGTCAGGTTTGTGAAGGGCAGCCAGATCCATGAGTGCAGCCCACTCACAGGAATTCAAGTCCCATAAAAAACATCCAGAATTAAGAAGATTAAGTTGCAAGTGTTCATTTCTAATTGTACACATATATTTACACACTTTAACAGAATATATTATCTTTTCTAACAAACAGAAATCTATTAAGTTAAGAAATTAACTGGGGCTTTTTAACTTGGCTATGGCAAGCCCCATCCTGTCTCGAGTGAGTGTATATCGCTCCATAATATGTCGAACATGCTCCTCTTCTTCACGCTGCAGAATTCTCAAGAAGTTGCACAATTCAGGATAGCTAAATGCGTCCCACTGTTAAGAATACAAATTATTTGCATTACATTTTGAAAGGTTACACAAAAGTGATGATTCTTGAAATTAAATAAATATAAATATAAATAAATAGCTTACATCCACTTCCCCAGTTTCATTCTCTTTCAAAACAAGACTGAGGACTTTTTCACTGGGGCCGGCACACAAACGCAAGTACAGGGGCCGCTCATCCTGACATAATTTCCTCATTAACACTAAAAAGAATGTAAATGTCACTGGTTTGTAACTTTCACCTCATAACGTTAATTTTCTTACCATGGTTTTGTCTCTCAGTCCGCTCGAACAGAGCAAATTTAGCTGGGTTGTCCATCACAGTGAACTTGTTGAGCAAGGCCACGATGACTTCTTGGACTTGTGTTTGTGAACTTATGTGCAGTTGTTTAGCAGTGTCTTTGGGAAGATAAAAAGATGTGCGCCGCCTTGTCCTCTTGTCCCACTGGCTGTGAGGTGGGGGCAGTGAGATCGGGCGAAGTAACTGGAAGTGCACCTTGATGAAGCCAGTGTAGGAGCCATCTTTATGCTGCAGGGCACGGAAAGTAAATATGAGCAAAACAATCACTGAATAATACATATATAAGTTACCAAATGAAAAGATTGGATTTATTATGTAATTATCACAAGACTATATAACTAAATCCTTTTTTCATGGCTTGTCTTCCCACTGTGAGATGGTATTCCCAGTGGTGTCGCATCAAGTCTTAACCATCTTCTGCTTTTCACAAAAGATCTGATGAAATTATGCTTAGACAGACAGGTGTTGCTAAATAAATAAACAAACGCACATAATAAAAGACAAAATACAGTATATACTCACAATGACCATTTGAAGGTTGTGGTTGATTTGGGAATTATAATCTTTAATCTTTTGTTGAATCTCTGCGTGATTGAAATCCTGTTGACCCCAATCACCCTTTTCATCCTAAAAACCAAAATATGATGGGTTAGAAAAGAAAAAGAGCCTTACCAGCATCAAATTATTACATACAGTATAAATGTACTGATAAATAACCTATTAACAAATTTACAGTTGCACTTTCTTCCAGTTATATTTTTAGCAATTATTTTTTTCATTTCAAAATCATTCTATATTGCTGTCAAATAAATGTTCCTAAATGTATTCGCATTTTATTGTATTTCCCCTTTTCACTTTCCACCTGCTTCACTTGAATCCTCCCACTACTGCTCACTTCTGGTAATCATATTTTCACTGGCTACACTGACAGTGCCTCACAGATCTGCACTATGTTTTCAACCTGTGCAGCGACCCAGCCCCTCCTCCTCAATAGCAGGAAAATTGCTTGTCATGTCATGAACTCACTTCTGTTTCCACCAGACACTTTCATAACCTATTCATGTTACCTCTTACAAAGGTCATGCAGCATGTCAGCCAGGGTTTAAGCTCCAAAACCATATCAACATTTCATGTTCCAACATTTTAAGGGTAAAATCATGTAGTAACTAATATACTTTATGTAACACAATAAACATCATTCTAATATCTAATAATGGAATACAACCGCTTTTGTGGCGTGTGAAGGGGGGATGAAGCAGAGTACAGGGAGTGATCCAAGACCAAGGAGATGATCATTGACTTTCACAAGAGCCCTTATAACTATCAACCGTCACACTAAATGGACAAGACATGGAAGTGGTACAAATACCAAGGAGTCCACCTGGATACAGTCTGGACTGGTCAGCTCAGGCCAATACTGTCTATAAGAAAGGTCAGAGCAGATTCTTCTTCCTGAGAAGGTCCTTTAATTTGAGCAGTCAGATGTTGCACGTATTTTACCAGTCTGTTGTAGTATTGTGCTGTGTACTTTGGGGTTGCATGTTGGGGGCAGTCTGATTAGGAATTGTCTTTCTGTAATGGGGAAAGTGTGGACTCTGTGGGAGCTGTGCTGGAGAGAAGACACCCTCTGCATGACACTATGGCGGAGAGGAGTATCACTACGCTGCCGATTAGAACGTTTCAAGTTTCAAAACACATTCTTCACTGAAGGTAAACAACACAAAACAACACACTAACGGCATCTCTAAATAGTCTTTCAGACAATTTTAAAACAAGGATAATTTACATTATACAAAAATAAATACCACATTTGTGTCAGATTCAAAGCTGTCACTTGGAGAGTCTGGCTTGTCGATCGGTGCCCCTGTATCTGTGCAACAGTCCAGTTGGATGAATGGCCGACAGCGCTGGTGACACGTGTAGCTGCATTCTGTAACACAGAGATGAACACAGTCAGAGGCCATCATCAGAACATTCATACAATTTGAGTTTCATTTTCACATCAGTTAAAATATAGGATTGTACACGTTTCATGGTTTTATTTAGCTATTTTAAATCTACATTGAAAGAGAATTTCACTTGGCCAGTGATCAGATTAAATCCACTTTGCAGTTACCGGAGTCTGAAGTATTGATCATAGTGAAGAATGCCACATAAAAAATCTATGTTTTGAAAGTTCCACATAAAAGATAAACCAGGAAAGATTTGCTCAAATGCAATGGACATCACGTTTTCTGTTTGCATTTGAAATGCAGCAGTAGTAAAGCATTTCACATTGACAATTACCAGAGCTTCCTGCAGATTACAAAGCATCCTCTCATATCTATGCTGGAAAGCAATTTGCCCTCTTTGTGACAGTGAGCTGTCAGTTTTATTGAAAAAGACAACAACCTCATATATTAGCCAGTATTTTGAAACACTTAAAACCACTTTAAGATTCATAAAGATATCTATCATACAAAAAATGAGTAATCAAGCCTAAATACAGTATGTCACTTGCTTATCTCTAATGTAGAGCGATACATTGAAAACCATATTGTGGGACAGTTTAATAAAACAATAACATTTACATGGACACAAAAAGATTTGTCTTGTACAAGAGTTAAGTAACGTTAGTAAGTTTTAGGAAAAGTTATAGTGTACTTACTGGAGCATCGCAGACTCTGCTGTCTGTAAAGCCCCCAGATGAAGTCTCCACAAAGATCACACCAGGTGGGATGAGTCTGTCTGAAGGGCTGGAAGTCATGCCCTCGTCCTGTCTTTTCTGAGAGTCCTGTCTCAATGCTGACCCTGTCCCCCACCAGCCGCACTACATGGGAGTACCCGGATGGCCCCGCGGGTAGTGCCGTGGGCGCCGGTGTGTGCTGTGTCCCAGGAGCAGCTAGTTCAATGGGATCATTCACACTCAGGTCCTGGAGCTCGATCAACTCACATTTAAACATCTTAGACTGGACAGTAGCACCCACATGTTGGCTGTGCTGCATGGATCATCCATGTGCTCCTGCAGGATACATACACAACAAAAACAAAAGTGAAAGACCTCACACTGGCTAAAAAAAAATGTTACTCGGTAGGTTTGTACTTGACAGACCAGTAGTTACACAAGGTGTGTAGATAAGCATGACAACTATCCAAGAAATAAGGGAATGACTAATATCTGTTTTCCTTTTCTATGAATGAGATGGATGGGACAATTATTTTGTGTTGGCTTCTTGCTAATGTGTATTTATGGTCACTTACACATGTCTTTAATAGAATTTACTGTAATAAAACTGTAAGCAATGACTGTGAGCCAACAAGAAGAAAGGGCTTCTTGTGGAGTGGCACAGATTTAGCTCTCTACTGTGACATTGCTTTCAAACTATTAAAAATATGGATTCATGATAAGCAGCTTTAAAAAATCCCAGACACCATGTATCTGATGGTGGAAGTGTCATAAGCTTGTATAGTTTAGGTCTAGACAATGAAAAACTATGTGTGAGAAAACAGCTTGTGACTTGAATTTGAACAACCCAGAGAACAATTTGCCAAGTGGGTCACACGTAAAACAGCACCGCAAAATTATCTACGCAAGAAAACAAGCGGCCATTGTATAATTTAATAATTACGTTGTAAAAGTAATTATTATTAATCTAATGTCCCCAATATCCATTACTATTACATCTATCTATATGGGCACTGGGACATCTCCAAACGGATCAGGAGTAGATTCAAGAGACAGTATAAAAATTCAACAAGTGCGCTCCATCCCCCATCCACAGAAAGATCCCCATAACAGAGTAAACAACATGCATTTACCTTGACGTTTCTCGCGGCTTGTTGCGGATTAAACTGTGCGTTTTGGGATGACACTACGCGATGATCCACTCTGAGTTTGCGCATGCACATTGGTGACCGTGGGATTATCTCTAATCTGGTGTAACCATCCAAGAGACATCAGAAAGGAAAGCCCCCTGGTCCCCAACCCCAACGTATGCCCCCAACTCTTATTGAACAATCAGTTGGCCTGTTTTTTTGTTTCTTCTTTAAAAAAAAAAAAAAAAAGCCTATTCAGTGCAGGATGATGATTACGGACAAACTGTTACCGTTTGTGTTTTCTTTAAAACCATAACAAATCAAAGTATACACCCATGGTTGAAATTGACATTGTAATACATACATTGAAATGGTGAAATATAAACAATATTTAAGGAATGTTACTATGTGGGCCCTTCTCCAAATAGCTAAAATCATAGAGAAAAACAGAAATCTTAAAATGCAAATAGATACTATGTGCAAGAGAGAGAATACATATTAGATTTGTTTTTAAAACTCTATAATGTTATAATCAATCATCAAGATTGAGATTGTATTGTATTTTGACTTCTGTGCACATTAAGATTATGAAAATTATTATTATCATTTATATAATTATAATTATTATTGTTATTGTTATTGTCATTATTATTATTATTATTATTATTGTAGATCCATGTGTCATCCTCATCCACGTCGGCAGGAGGCGTGTCGGATGCTGCTGTTATTAAACGACTCTTTTTCTTTTCAAAATAAAAAATATATAATGGTTACAGCTGCTTAAACACAAATTTTAAATATTGAAAAATAGGAAACACCACAGTAGAAGAAAGTTTAGCGACATTTCACTTAGCACATATGTATAACCTATAACGTCGCTTCGCATGTTTATATCATTTATCAAACATGAAAGTTGTATTTTGAAACTTCTCAGAAAAAACGATTTAGATTTTATGCTTACTAGGATCATGCAAAAAACTACCGCTTGTGACCATAGACTGTTGTTGTGACTTATGGTTGTTACTATAACACCAATATATGTATATATACTTAATAATTATCAGATTGAACTTCTCATTGCATCACACAGTGAGTGGAGTGGACTATCTTGATCAGCGGAAGCCTGGAGTTTACCTGAGGTCGGTGAGGATCTGGAGGAGTGCTCTTCATCCAAACATGGTCCAGGGGAAAGGGACCGAGACCGAGGCCAAACTTTACACATGTACAAGAACCGTGTCTGCAGCGCTCACACACCTCCTCTGCATCTCATTCACAGTCTTCCTCCTGTTCCTGTCTCGGCCGGGTTCCAGTGAGTGCCCATAGAATATTTTATATGCCTTTTAATCATCGCAATTCTAAAATGTATGTTGTGTTGGCAGGCTTATTTTCATGGCACCCTTTTCTAATGACACTTGCAGTAAGTACATGAATTATTCTACAGAAATCCCTGTAATACTTGAGCAACTATAAATTGCGTTAGACATTTTAAAGTTGTAGAATCCAACTTATTTTGGTTTTCATAGATACATGTTGTTGATCTAACAGGAATGTAACATTTTGTGTACAAATCAGACCAAAATATAAATCTTTTGTCTTACCAGACACCATTTGATCTTTTAAATACTGAGAACTGATTGGCTGAGTGAAAGCATACTGTAGAGGCCATAAATAGATGCAAGTGAAAACTACTAATGCTGGACTCAGTTAAACTATTCAGTGGTTAAAGAATTAAGTTATAAGCTCTTCCCATTGCATAATTAGCAAAAACAGGAAGTTATTTATTGTAAATGCTTGGTTATCAATTGAGCCTGTGTCAAAATAGCACTTTATATCCAATTGTATAAGATGGATATAAATCTGTTAAACATGTTACATATTGATTTGATATTGACTTATTTTTTTTTTTTAAACGTATTCCATAGTTTTCCTTCTGCATGACGGAGGCCATCCTTCTGTTCTCCCTCCATGGCTCCCCTATAAGAAGGTTTGCACATAAAACCAAAGGCCGCATTCACTGGGCCCTCCAGGTTCTGTGTGTCACTTGTGCTGCTGTGGGCCTAGCCGTTATTTTCTATAACAAACACTTGAATGATAAACCTCATTTCACATCATGGCACGGCGTCCTGGGCCTGATCACTGTGTGTGTGGTCGGAGTGCAGTCGCTGGCAGCTGTGCCCCTCATATACCCCTCTATGGCTAAAGGCTGGTCTCTGGCCAAACTGAAGAGGTACCACGCAGCGTCAGGGCTTGTCACCTACCTACTGGGCTGCGGGAGTCTTCTGCTCGGCCTCTGCTCTGTCTGGTTCACTGCATCCGTCAGCAGTTACACCTGGTACGTGTCTGCTCTCTGCCCTGTACTCTCTGCTCTCGTCATCATGGACCAAGTCTCCCGCACATACATGGCAAAAAAGAGACTACAGTCCTGACCCAGCAACGGAGACACTTTTTTGGAATATGGACCGATTGTATTTATAGATATACATATTTTTTATGTGCGATTTTCAATACAATTACAATGCTCAAGCTTTGTGCAATGATGTTTTCAGGGAATCCATACTATAGCAAAACATACAAAATGCATATAAATAAATGAGATATGTGATTGCAACAGGAGTGTTTATTAAAATAATAACAGCATAATCCTACATTGATCTGGACTGCATTAAGTTGAATGAATTAGTCTGCATGATTCAACATAACATAAAAATGCCATACTAACTTTGCAATCAAAATAAATATCTCAAACAAAAAGAGATACATGTGAACATACACCAAGTAAAAGTTATAAAAAACACTTTAAAAAAAAGACTGTTAACTATAAACATACAGCCGTAAATGACGAATGAAATGGAACAATAAAAAGCTTTGTAGAATCCAACTTTTTTCATGAAAGCCAGAAAACAGAAAACAGGGCAATTTAATGTCTTTACAGTTCGCAAGCAGAACATTTTTCAAATTTAACTTCTACTGTCGTCATAAAATCTGAAGACATGCTTCTGCAATCTGGGGAAATCCTTGATAGAAAAGTTGTATCGGAATCTCCTATAAACTAAAACAGAAATGTAACTACAGTATTTGTACAAAATGGTTACATATATGGGAATGATTTCTGAGTAATCCTCCAGTGTTTTCCTAAGGGCTATTTTTGTCCACTGTACAAGGAAAAGTAACTTTTCTAAGTCGCACTACACAGAAACACAATGCTACAGAGAACAGCGAAGACCTACGGACCTCTAAGCATCGCAGACCGGCACGTGACGCCACTGACAGGAGCTAGAAACACTGCACTGTTCATACAAAGATGCAGCTCTGTGAAACGCAACCACAAAAATGGCACTATTAGTTTGGTAAGGCCACCACACCACCACATGAACAGTCACGAGTGGTGTCTGAATGAAATTGGTATTTTCATGGCAGAAAGCTACAACTTTAGAATTTTTTATTTCTCCTCATTGCTAAACCTCATTAATTTTAAATCCAGCACCATCTCAATGCTCAGTCTGTCCCACAGATGTAGAAAAGAAACACGGAGTACCCTTTGATATTTAAGTCCATAGGTTAACAATGGATAAATACATTCACTTTAGATAAACAAAAATGTTTGTGTGAGATTGAGTTATCAGTACAAGCCATGAGATCACTCCTCCAACCAAAACCTACACATTGAACGTTATTAACTGGCAATATTAACAATGACAATGTCTGCTATTTACAAAGTATTAACATAGTCACTTGCGTTTCACTCACAATATTTTATGGGTTGCAACCATATCCACTGAACAGCTATGATTTTTGCCAATAGCCTCAAAAGATAAGTTGCTTTGGGTTTTTTGTTTACTTTATTACATTTTTATCACTATTACACAATGTGCAAGAGCCACCTCAGAAACTCTTCAATGAAATCTGAACAATACTAACATTTGTAACATTCTTTACAAATTGTAACAGGAGGCGCTGTGCTTAGATAACCCTGGAAAGAAACAGCTGGTCCCTGTATATCAAATAACCTGGCCCAACATACAATTCATCTAAACCTAAAGATTTTTTTATTATTTTTTTATAAGTTGCATGTAATGGTCTAACTGATTATATTCTAGTAATAGATAGTTCGTTACCATTTGAATCAGTAATTGGAAAAAGTTTTGTTTCTGATGTGGCGGTACCTCTTAAAATGTAAATACTTTACATTGTGGATCGTGAAAACATTTACAAACAACAACTTATAGCCACAGTGAAAATTTCACTGAATACAAAAAATTAAACTTTAACCATCATTACAGTTCATATACTAATCAAATATATTCCCTCCTTATGCCACCTCCCTGTAAGTCATTACTTGACTGACTCACTTAATTTAGACGCTCATGCTATTTTACCAGATTGATTATTATACAAAAATATGGTTGTCCTACTGTCCAATAACCTCTATAACGTCATCATCGGAACTGCTGCCACCGTTCTCTGCGCTGTGGTGCCTGTCGGTGTGCGTCAGAGCGGCCCCCAGCAGACTGGAAGTGGGGTTGCTGAAATGGGAAAGAAAACTGGACGAGGAAGTGCTAGGAATCGACGAAGGAAGACTCCCTGTGCCGGAAAGGAGAGGACTGGACAGCATCCTCGATTCAGGAAGCAACGTCTGATTGTAGTTGAGAGGAGGAAAACCAGACGTAAGCAGCCCCGTCATGTTGGGGTTCATCAGATACGGAGGCAGTGAACTGGGCGAAAGCGAGGAAGATGTTGCGGTGGAGGGAATGGTGGTGGCGGTGGAGGAGAAAAGAGAGGATGAGGATGTCTGGTGAACCCCATTCCCTGAGGCAGGCTGTCTGAGCATGTCTGTGCCGGAGGAGCCTGGGAACAGGTTTTGCAGGTCCCCCATGTTCTGTCCAGGGGTTTGAAGATAGGAAGATCCCCCACTACCGCCCATCAATAGAGGATGACTCATGTGTCCCATGTTCCCCAATAAAGAGGGTGAGTTTAGTCCCATTGGGGGAAAGCTAAGTCCACTGGAGCCCATGTTGAACCCAGGAAAGCGGGTCACGGCAGATGAACGTTTTCCAGTGCTGTACATGTTGCCATGCGGATCAGTGTTTTTGCGTTTTATCCCATGCATGTCCAACGCAGAGCTCAGCAGATCCTCACCCAGGGGTCTGTTGAGGTCAGAGGTTTGGTTTTTCTGGTTGGGCGGGGACAGCAGTTCGTTTCTGAGCCCAGAGGAGGAGGGGGAGTTTCTGACGGGGGTGGAGAAGCCGCTCAGCTCCCTGATGAGGTCCGAGCTCAGAGGAGACGAGGGTTGCGGCTCTCTGCTTGGGGAACACTGCAGTCGCTCCGCAGGTGACGTGCAGCCATTAGTGACTGCCGGCATCAGAGTGCCCTGTGGTTCTGTGGGACCACAAACATAATGTGAATCATTTTTGTCTCATTTAGTTGAGCAGGTTTTTTGTGCCACTACAGAGCTGTAAAAGAAGATTACTCGTCTTCATAAAAATAATAATCAGGGTTAGGGTGCATTGCTGATGTTAGGTTACCGTGAATTCTCTCTGAGCTCTAAACATAGGATAATTTTGATGCTTCAATTGTGTGAGAGAGTGAACAAATCTAGCCAGCTGCAAAATGTTATAAAGCTTAAAAATTCACAAGTTTAAAAATGCTATTGTTGGTAATAAGAGTATAAAATTACCAAAAACATCAAACTTGCAAAGCTGTCCATAGACAATGTGTTGTAAAAAGCAGAAACATACACAAACAGTTATACCAACCTCGTGAAACAGCAGCTAGTGCAACTGGAGGTCGGCTAATTTTTCCTGATCTGACGGCAAAAATCCTTCCATCATGAGTTCTGATGTAGGTGCCTTTAAAAAAAAAAAACAAATAAATGTCGACACTGCAATAATATTCAACCCAGAAATCCACATAGGTTGGCTGAGCTGACTGCGCCTGGGACGTCATGTGTGACGTCGCATAACGCTTTTGAGGAACAATAGAAGTTTGCCGTCGAAACATATCAAAGGTAATAACATCCCCATCTTACAATTGTCTGGTATAGAAGAACCAAATAACTTAAGCTACTAAGAAGACAAAATGAACCTTCCTAAACTCGCATTTCCTGTAGGAAAGGCAACATCAACTTCAAGCATTTTGATACAGTCACACTGGTCCTTGATCCTTGGTGTGAGACAGGCCTCTTCTCTGACAATGTTTAAGGTTTAAGGTTGAAAACAGTTCTGTTAAGCTGTGCATTCAACTGAGGGATTGAATATTTTATTTTTTTTATTTTTAATGTACTGTGATTATTTATGATTTTAATGCTATCTTGTTTTGTTCAGCACTTTGAGTTTCCTTGTGTATGAATTGTGCTATACAAATAAACTTGCCTTGCCTTACCCTTGGACCTAAACAGAACAATCTTATACTCTGACGAGCGTTTGACACATTATTATATGTTCTATTGATGTTTAATCAGAATTATGTCACCCGTTTGTCTTTAATGTAGACTAATACATTCATAACATTGGGGACAAGCAAGAGGCCAATACTTCACCGGAAAAATACTGTACGTACTGTTCGTAGCTGTGCGTGTTTGTCTTACCTTTAGACCCCCTTATTACATGAATGGTTTCTCCAGCACTGATTCTGGCTTGTACCTCTGTGGCGCTGTTTGCTCCAGGTATTACAATATCTGAAAATCCCAGCAGTACGAACAGTTAATAACAATAAGTACACAGCATTTGGGAGATTTAAAAGGAGTGTGCTTTGCCTGTTGTTGTGACTATTCTCTGCACAGAAACTCCAGCTTTCTGCAGGAAGTTTACTGGGATGCCACCGCTGGAACCCGCCATACCCATCCCAACCTGGCGGGGCATCATGGGAATTGGGGTTGATTGAATCGGCCGAACACTAGCCACTGGCTTCTCATCAGGTCTAAAGATTGGTCGCCTAAAAGTCCACAATGGTGAATATATAATACACATGTATGTTTTTGTAAGACTTGTGAAGTCAACTTACCACCCCCGTTGGTTAAAAGCAGGTATATTTGCAAGAGCTTGATCACTGTTTGGATAATAAGACGCGTAAGAAGGACGGGAATAAGGCACAGAGGCTCTTTTCTCATCCTCGTAGCCTTTCTTAGCAGCCTTTTTTTCTGCTTTGGTTAGTTTAGATTCCTTGCGGTCCACAAGCAGAGACTCATGTTGGAAAGGTGGCTGTAAAAAAAACAAAATAAAACACCTGAAATGTTTTCTTAGGCCTTGTCCACACGTAGCCAGGTATTTTCACCCCCCGCTCGCAGCAGCGAACAGTTTTCAAGGCAGTAAGAGCCATTTTGTTTGTTGTTGTTTTGGGGGCATACTGTAACGTGCAAAAACGCAAAACTCCGGTTATCTCTGTCCACACGCAAATGCATAAACAGAGTTTTCTAAAATCCACTTTGCCCGGAGGTTTTTTATAAACTCTGTTTATGATGAGTTGTCATGTGGATGACAGGTGCGAACGAAGAAAAATATCTGCGGTTTAGCAGATACCCGGCTACGTGTGGACGGGGCCTTAGTGTCAGCATTTCTATAGAATACATCCAAATCTTACAATCTTATGTATGTTAGCAAAATATAGACTGTCCACTTTTTATTATCCAGCATAGTGTACTGTACCTTAGTGATGAGGTGTGGATGCAGATGACACGCCTGGAACAATACAAACTCAAGCTCATTTTTTGATTCAAGAGAGATCTTTTTTGTCTCAGGCTCCTCCTCGACAAAGTGCAATAACGATTCCACCTCCTTTCGGGTGAAGTTAAGAACCGGGTTTAGGTCATCCACCACACGGTCTGCAGCAGGAAAAAAAAAACATTAAGGAAAAACAATACAATAGAAACTTCTTGCATGTGTAGCTATAGTACATAATCAACAGTTACCGGACATTCCCTGTTTGGAAACTTGTCTGTCATAAATCTTCTTCTCCAAAGTGAAGTCACAGACGAGGCGGTAAATGAAACAGGGTTTTTTCTGACCGTACCGATACACTCGGCACACTGCTTGAGCGTCATGACAGGGGTTCCAAGAGGCATCGAACACGACCACTCGGTTTGCTCCAATTAGATTAACACCCAAGCAGCCTGCCCTGAAGTTATAAACATGACATTCAGACCATATTCAATTGGAAACAATTGATAAGTGCTTTGTATGTGTACCTGGTAGACAGGAGGAACACCCAGGCTGTGTTGTTCTCAGGGTCATTGAACTGATTGATGAGGCGTTCTCTCTCAGTAGCAGAAGTACTGCCATCTAGTCCTACAAACATAACCAAATGCTATTCTTGAATTCCAGTGCAAACTTTAAAGAATGTCACATTTTCCCTGGGACAAATTCACCATTCAGATTTCAGATGTATCTGTAGTACAACCAGTTTGTAAACCAAGTGGTTTTTAGGGTCACTTTTTTAAATACCAAAATCCTTTCTAGTGGCTCAATGCCACAATATTGAGTTTCTAACAGGGAAAACAGGGAAAACCAAATTATAGCTTTTAATGAGAACTACTGGTTTCCACAGAATACGAGCACTGGTGCTTTCAAACAGCGCCAAAAACACATATACTATCCAACACCTGTATACTTAGTCAGTTTTTACTGGCTGGAGGAGGAGAGTCTAAAAACAGGGGATGCTGAGGTTAATTATCCATTTACTTAGTTTCTGTGAACATAAGTTGATCTATAGGTGTTTTGTTGTACAATGAACAAATAACTACTGTAAATACACATTATAAATTATGAAGTGACTGCAATTAAATTAAGCATGAAAATGTATATAAATCACGTATATGAAACTTCCTACAAGGTGAATCAAACCCAATCGTGAGATTTTTGGATACACAAAGAATTAAGTGTAATACATGCAGGTTTTCAAACATGTGTTATTTTTCTCCTTGACTCACTATAGTAGTTTAGGTTGCGAATCCAATTGTGACTCAAGCCGTCGGGGGGGCAGACTTCAGGTGACATGGGTCTTCTTGATAAGAAGTCCTCAATAAGAGACAGTGTAGACAAACTTTGGCTGCAAAAGAGATGTAGACGTAAATAAATCAATAACGTAAATTCTTGAGAGAGCATTTATGTATACACTGAACAAAAACCCGTAACCCTTTTTATTTTGAGCTGATTTTTTACTCAACACAGACCACCTCCAAAATGTGTGTTCATGGGCACTTTTTTTATGAGATAATCTATCCCATCACATCACACAGTGGTGGAGTATTAAAATGCTGATTAAACAGCAAGCTTGTTGCACAAATGCCATAAAATATCACAGTTTGAAGGAGATTTCAGATATTCAGATGTGGCTGCAATTTGTCAAAGCAGTAAAACATAAATCATGTATCAAGGGCCAACGCAAAGAATCTAGATGCCATGCGCCTGCCCTGACCTGACGCACATTTCAGCCACTCACCCACGCGACATGACACATTCTGTGTCAGCCATCGGCCATGAACAGTGAAAACCGGGGTCAACTTGTGAAGAGAATACCTCTTCCAATGTGCCAGGTGCCGTCGATCGCAAGCCTTTACAATAATGAACTGTAGTCAGGTTCAGACTCCGAGGAGGACGGGCAAAAGATTACCCGCTTGAGATAAACGAACATGCACATCATGAGCAACACTGCTGGCAGACATTCCTGCAGTGGGCATGCCAATTGTACACTCCCTCACAACCTACAACATTGGTGGCAGTGTGCTGTGTGATCACACTTTTAGAGTGGTCACTTATTGTGATCAAATTTATCCATTGATCAGTCCCTCTAGAATTTTGCAAAGTTGCGATCGCAACTATTAACGCAAAATCATGCAACCTACGTAAAATCTGAGACCTTGCAACTTCTTATAATCTCTGCAACTTTTCCACAACTTTACAGAAACAAATAAGTAGTGTCTGGTAATGTGACTGAGTTATTTCTCTCCTCCTGTCACTAAGCACTGCTTGCAGGCATGCTCTCCTGTGTGAGGCGCACGCTCCCGCACAGAATGTTCTAAAGCAAATTTCACATGAATTAAACATGATACTAATGGGTCTTGCTTCGTACTCACCGGTCTGCCACGTATCACCTCGCTCTGTCCCCTCTATAAACCACAAGGTAAGATCATCCAAGTCTCACCCTCACACCAGGTTTGCGCATGCCAGACCAAACTCTCCTCCTTCCGCGTACGCGGTTGTAGCATGTTGTTGACACTATTGTATCAATGTCCAACAAAAATCAAATATTCTAGCCCGCAACAATCTAAATAATTGCCAGGAAATTCCTGGAGGGACTGATAGGTGGAAAATTATACTGAATCTTCATATGCCAAGGTTCGATGGATTACATCAGATTCAAACAGAATTTATTATTTGTGAATATAAAAACATATTTGAACAGTGAGTTCAGTATTTTTGTTCAGTGGAATTACAACAAAAAGGAAAAAATGAACCGACCTGAACACCAATATCTTGTCTCGTCTCTTTACACTTTCCTCAATCAAACAGAACAGCAAAAGCATCTTAGCAGAGTTTTCCAGCACTCCAGTTTGGTACTTTGACATGATGTCCTTAGCCTAAGACAAGTGAGAGATGCTTGTGTAAAAATAACATTTGTACAAATCAAATACTGCTTTGTACTGTACCCATTCATAGGTGATCACTTGATTTGATCTGTCCTGAGAAGGATTCAGAGGTGGCAAGTTGTTTCCATTCCCTTTACTATTGCTTGAATCAGCAACTTTTGCTTTTAGGCCAGTGGAAGCAGAGCAGCGAGGATTGTTCGTTATGTCATCTAGGTCCAAGTCTTGATCGTTGGCTTGATTTTCCTTCTGCAAGGCCTCATAAAGGACGTCTGGATGATTCCAAATCTGAGGGGGAACAGAGATAAGTATTGGAAAATCATGGAATTGGATCTCATACCTGGCAAAAAAACAAAGGTGGCCTCACCTTACAGCATACACAAAATGCTTTGAGAGGATTAAGTCCGAGCCATCCATTGTTTCCTGCTTCTCTGAATCGTTGCATGAACTCTGTGTACAGGGCTCTCTGGATAGGAGTCAACCTCACCATTATGACATGCTCCTCTTTGTGAGGGAGCTGATCCCTCAGCACATCGTGGCCTCGTCTGAAAGACACAAATGAAGTATTAATATGACTGCCTTCCACGTTGAGATGTCTTATACATATAAAGAAAATGACCTCTGTACAAATCCTTCCAGTAGACTGTAAAGAACGTGGCTGCGATAACGCATCAGTCGAACATCTTGAGGAGTGCTGTCCACACACTGCCCGTTCAGAATTGGCCTTTCAAACATATTGCTGAATTCCTGCCGTGTGCCTAAAAAGTCTGGCCTGACAAAGTCCACCATGCACCAGTACTCGATAAGGTTGTTCTGTAGTGGATACCCAGTTAGAACCACTCTCCGCCTCGACCTGATGTTTTTAAGAGCCTGTGAAGTGCTCGCATGGTAGTTCTTGATCCTATGTCCCTCGTCACATATCACAACATCGGGTCCAGGTCGTGCAATTGACTTTTCAATATCTGTGAAAAATAATTGTTAGAATTGGAAAAGGAGACAAGAAATGCTAAAGGATAGATACAACTAACTTTTCATTAACTCCTGTTGTCGGTCCTCTTCATCCAGATCAATGATGATTGGGCCCATTGGCTTCTTAGATTTCCTTTTCTTTCCCATGACAAAACTCTTCTTCATAGACAAGAGTCGGTACATCTCATAACCCATGAGTAAAACTCCCCCATCTTTGGACCAGTCCTCCACAACTTTGGCCCTTGCAAGCGTTGTTCTAGAAATGGAGTTTGATATAATTAATACAAAGGTATAGATAGGATAATATCAGCAAAAACATCTTCTTACTTGTGCTCATCATTTAAAATGTGGACTTTGAAATTTCGAGCAGTAAAAATTGCAGGATCTGTGTCAGAACCAAGGGCCTCTTGAGAGGGGAGCCATAAGTTAAACTCTGACAGCCAGTTCTGAAGCGTGTTCACCTACATATTGACAAGTACAAACGATGTGATAAAAAGGTAAAACAACAAGATAATCTGTTTGGCCGTTTACGTACAGGGACAATGGCCAGCACAGTGTGAGCCTCAGTATTCCTTAGCAAAATGTCAACAAACGAAATGACCTGCAGCGTCTTTCCCAGTCCCATGCTGTGGGCAAGGATGCAGCCAAAGCCACAGCTGGTTTTATACCGCTCCAGAGATTCGATTAGGTTGTCATAAAGAAAGCGAATGCCCCCAATCTAAAAATGGAAATAAAGGAAGAAAAATATAGCACAGAACATAATATAAAATAAAAAAATTGAAATTAATAAAATTATAATAATAAATCAATACCTGATGTGGTTTTACTGCCCTGGCAAGTTGTGGAGCAAGAAATATGTCTTTTTCTTCTGCAGGGTGATTGAGATTGACCAGGACACGGCCAAGAGCATCAGGTAAGTTCACTGCATCATTGATGTGAGCTCCACTGCTCTCCTCACAACCTGGAGCGTCTGCATCCTCCTCAGCAGACTCACTGCTGATTTGTAGAGCATCTTCATCTCCAGAACTTAGTTCTATTACATCTGTATTATAAGACTTGATGAGTATTTTGAAACAGGAGTTTTACGAACATAAAGTACCACCAACCAACGTGCATATTCCTAATTACCATCTCTAACAGCAAGAACCGGCAACTGTGGTTCCAAATGTTCTTCTTCATCTCCACTACTATCAAGACATATTACATCTTCCTTGCTTAGAAGATCGGGAACTAACTTTGAAACTTCTCCTAAAATCGCAGATGTTTCAGCTGTTGAAAAAAGGATTTGTATAAATAATAATAATCATTATTATTATTATTATTATTATTATTATTATTATTATTATGATTATTATTATAAATATTAGGTAAGAAAATAACCACAGCATCAAACATGATCAAAAAATAGAAAGAGTGAAGAGACCTAGTTGAGATTCCGGGAATGCCAGGGCTGCTGAAGGAAAATCCTTCCTCTGCTGTTCCAGACGTTTTCTTCTTTCCATCTCTTCCTGTTGAGCAGTCTTTGTACCAGCTTCCAGCTGGTCCTCTTTCAACAGTTTTCTTCAAACATAAAAAGTTGGTTAGTAAGTGAGGCTAACACAATAGAGATAGATAAGAAAACATTACCTGATGTTTTTCCTCATGTTGGAAGGTTTTGATAGCTTAGTGGACTTAGATCCCTTTGGAGACTTTGGAGATTTTGATTTACTGGAGGACTTCTTTTCTTTGTTTCTTTGTTTTTGTTTCTTTATTTTGGTAGGGGTAATCTTCTTATTTGAGTTTTCTGGACTTGCAGGCGTCAACGTTTGACACCTTGATGCAGGTCTGGAGGGAGTCCGAGAAGATGGCCGTGATTCAGGCTGTGATGAAGGCTCAGAGGTTGGTGATTCAGAGGATTCCGGTTGACTCTGAGTACTTGCTGGACGCTCTGAAAAATTTCACAAATATTTGATCAGAAACATTACTGATAATACGTTTTTGTTAGTCCTCTGTCTTACCAACACTGTCATCCTCATCATCTCCATCGTTTTCATCCTCCTCCTCCTCATCATCATCATCACCATCCTCCTCCTCCTCCTTGTCATCATTTTCCTCCTCTTCTTCATTTTCAAGATCCTCCTCTTCACTGTTTGGGTTAGTGTCCAAATCACTCTCTGATAGAGCCTCTTCAGACATGGTGTCCTGCAGAGCTGTGAGGCTATGACCTACACACCTTCATTTGGAGGGCTGAAAACATAGCAGATGAGAGGGAAAATACTTCAGACTCTATTACTTCACTTGTAATACTCTGCAAGAAAATATTATGGTTAGGAACCTATTAGTATTTGTGGCAGCAAATTGATTTAGTCAACTAACAACAAGAAACTCTTTAAATGTTTTAGTAAGAGCATTTAAATAAAAAACAAACAAGACGAAGTAGAAAAGTTTTAAGTCCGGTCAGTGGAGAAGAAGGACTTCATTGCAGCAGCGCATGTTTATCAAGTTTTTGTGTGCAATGAAGCTGTAGATATTCAAGTCAAGTTTTAATATTACGGGGCGTTACATTACCGCTAGAAGTTAAACTCCGCAGGGTTCTTTTATAACTGCTAACAACACAGTCAGTATGGTCAGCCATAGCCTTGTATTAATAACTGACATCGTACACCATTCACGAAACATGCATACTTTAAATAGCCGATAAAACGAGCACGGGCATTTACCAAATAGTTAAATCATACCTATTTTCACTAAGGCCAAATTTATGGATATACTTAGGCGTTCAAAGAGCGGATACGAGCTAACGCTAACTAAATTACAATGCTAGCTTATCTTCAGGGCGCGTTTCCAAAAACAAAAATAGATATAATGTAAACTTACCATACACGCGTCAACGCAGTGATCTGTACAATCTCCTACCAAGAGTGTGTACGCATACTATATATTAATCGAACAGCACCGAGGTAAATACATTTATGAAGGATGCTAAATTCTAATTTTCCAGTGCAACCGTAAACACGCTCCCCCACAATAGACACAACCCCCAAATGTTCCGGATACAAATGATACCGATAGTACAGTACACCCACGGTTCAATAGCATCAAGTAAAGAGCCAAATCACTATTTTAGAAGAGTCTCCAAAATCAGATTATTGCAATATAAATCATATAAGTTATATGTTCCTATATAAATGGTGATACCGTGGTATTTTGTATTTGTGTGCAAGTATGTCTCCCATTGATGACGTAGTATACAAGCGACCATTATGCCTTTTGTGTTTATCCTGGGCTCTGAATGAACGTTACAACTTCAATAATTGTGACAGATGTTCAGTTTGATATGGATTGGAAACCATCCTGGTCGATAGAATAATATTTTTTAAAATGAATAAGGGGTGGCTTGAGCTGGAGAGTGATCCAGGTGAGAACCTTTATTGATGTATCCTTTAGTCACTGAGCTAACAAACGGTTAGCTAAGTTATATTCGCTGAATTGTTTTGGAATTTAATTTTAACTTTAGCGTCCTAAAGTTAATGCAATATAAAGGCCCTTATAGTAAACTATTTTACAATTGAATGAAATGCATATTTTTACCTGAAGCTCAAATATATATGATATTACTCAATCGTTTATGCAGTTTCTTTTTTGTAATTTTAGGGTTGTTTACTCTTCTTGTGGAGGATTTTGGTAAGTTTAATATGCTTCACGTAGCTGAATGCAATTCCCTTCTTATCTAATGGCCTTTATGCCTATGTAGGTATCAAGGGAGTACAAGTAGAAGAAATATACGACCTTCAGAGCAAATGTCAAAGGTTTGTGCAACATATTTTGCAGTGTGACTTATCCATGTGTTCATTTTAAAGTTATTTTAAATTTTATCTAATGTATGTTTTTCGCTGAATCCCTAACAATTTGGATACTTACAATAATTATAATTTGATATTATTAGCCCTGTATATGGATTCATCTTTTTGTTCAAATGGATTGAGGAACGGCGTTCACGAAGAAAAGTAAACACTTTGGTTGATGAGACCTCTGTTATCGATGAAGACATTGTAAATGATATGTTCTTTGCTCATCAGGTAAAGAACACTTGTTTTCATCCATTCATCTATGCATAGCATACACTGAATTTAAATGAATGAGTAAGTGATTTTCAAATTTTCTGCATTTCTTACCACCAGCTTATCCCTAACTCATGTGCCACCCATGCTTTATTGAGTGTGCTTCTTAACTGCAGTGGGGTTGAGCTTGGCACAACTTTAAGTCGTATAAAAGCTTTCACCAAAGGCTTCAGCCCAGAGGTAAGACTGTAGTTGATTGATTTGATTCATCTATTTCACTCCCGTTCATGTGTCTGTCCCCCCCCCCCCCCCCCCCCCCCCCCCAGAGCAAAGGATATGCAATCGGAAATGCTCCAGAGCTTGCTCGAGCACACAACAGCCATGCAAGGTATTTACAGCCAAGTATACCTAAAGCGCTATTCCTAAAACCAAAAGTGTTAAGTGAAATAGTTTTCACATTTCACTCCTTTTATCTTTAAGACCAGAGCCAAGGCATCTGCCCGAGAAACAAAATGGTATCAGTACAGTGCGGACCATGGAAGCCTTCCACTTTGTCAGCTATGTGCCCATAAAAGACCGCCTTTTTGAGCTGGATGGGCTCAAGGCATACCCTATTGATCATGGCAAGAACTTTAGTATTTCCACTATTGTTGTGTTGTCATCAAGTCTATTGTTTTAACTGAGGCTTTTTAGGTCCCTGGGGGGAAGATGAGGAGTGGACTGACAAAGCACGACGGGTTATCATGGAGAGGATTGGATTGGCCACTGCAGGGTGAGTGTTGCTCTAAAAAAAAAAGTTTTAGTGCTTTAATTCTCAAATTGCAACTGTCATCCTTTTTTGTTTTATTACAAGTGAACCATATCATGATATTCGCTTCAACCTAATGGCAGTAGTGCCTGACCGCAGGATAAAATACGAGTCCAAACTTGAAATTCTTAAAAGAAATCGACAAACTGTTCTGGAGGGTTTGCAAAAGGTAATGGTGCCATAAAGAATATTCTAAAATAGTTTGTTTGTAATGTGTATGTATGTATGTATATATATATATATATATATATATATATATTAATGGAGATCATTAAAATGTTAGATGATCCAACTAACACAAACTGAAGCTGCTCAAGAAAAGAAACGGCAAGACGCTGCTTCTCCTGAGGAAGTTACTGGGACTATCAAGAAAGAGGTTGAAGTTGAACAAACTGCCTCCCAAGCTGGTGGTCCAATATCAGGTAACTTTCACATTTTAAATAAATTCCATCACTGAGTAAGCAGAACAATACATTTTTCATCTGTGTATCTAGACTCAATAGAACAAGCCAAAGCCCCCAGTCCTTCAAGTAGTTCTAAAGTCATGGCCAAACCCACCGCCCCCGTAGGAAGAGTGACCAGTCCATGCCCCATTGTACAACGCCTGCCAGCTTTCCTAGACAATCACAACTATGCCAAGTCTCCAATGCAGGTAGAATAGATATCGGATCTCAAGGTGTCATCTGTTTAAGGTGACTCTGTTTCCTCTCTCTTACCCTGATTATTTCATGCTTTCTTGTGGCAGGAGGAGGAGGATCTGGCTGCTGGAGTTGGTCGTAATCGAGTTTCTGGAACTCCACAGCCCTCGTATTCTGGTGATGAAGATGACTATGAAGATGAAGAAGAACCAGTTCCAGGTTCTACTAGCACACCCAATAGGTCAGCACAGCACATGAGACTAAATCATGTTTTCCAGCATCTCTCATAACGTCTTTTCAAACCACAGTAGGTTTAGAAGGAAGCAGAGCCTCCGGTCAAGAACTGGAAGAGTTACGACTGGAATGGAGAGCCAACTTGCCCTGAGTGTCTTGGCTGAAAAACTAAAGAAAGAAGCCCAGAGGAAAGATGCTTTAAATGCACCCCTTTCAGTTCGCACAGAAGGCCGTACTGGGGGCGTCTCCATCACATCTGCTTCTCAGCCTTCCCCAACACCAAGCAACGAAAGTACTGACACTGCCTCTGAGATTGGAAGCGCTTTTAACTCCCCTCTGCGCTCACCTGCTCGCTCCCAAGCTGCCACACGTCCCTCCAGTCCGGTTGCATCCCATTTGTCACGAGTGCTTTTTGGAGAAGATGAGCTCTTGAGGCTAGACTCCAGACATAATCGTGCCGTGCGAGACCTAGGTCCTTCTATCAGCATAGCCTTGTTGCAACTTCAGGAGGATGGAGTCATGTTCTCTCTCCTGCCATCTGGTCAGTTAATTTGCTGCTTATCACTAAAATCACTGGATAATAATGTTCAATGTGTATTAAAAAAGTACAAGCCTTAAAAAGTGATAAGGAAAAAAAAAATACTGTAATGTGATTGACAGCAACATTGACAACATGGTAATACCCATTTCTGTTTTCAATTGCTAGTTGATTTGTTTTTGGGATAATTCCCACATTACTTTTGGATTGCCCTTTTTCTTGGTGAGATCCAGTCTAGTTTGGTCTTCACCTAAACTCCAATAGTTGAACAACATCAGTAATCTGAGCTGGATGAACATGTGTGCAGATTAGACACTGGCAAATAAACCCGATTATCATTTAATGACTTTATGAAACCAGTAAGAGCCACTAAACCAGTAAACTACATACAGTTCCATTACTAGAAAAAATGTCTAAAATGACAAATTTCGATATTGTCCCAATCTGTCTTGGTTTCATACAATGTCAAATTTATAGATTTCAAATGTGATCATAAAACTGCAATTATTTAGATTTATTTTAACAGAATCCGTGCAACACAAAATCCCATAAAACATACACATTTATTTAATGGGACAGTGTATAAATGCTGGTAATGCACCAGAGTTAGCTTGATACATTTTACCTAAATTTTATAGTTTTAAAAAGAGGAGGTCTGCACAGCTATTTATCTTCCAAGTGTCACCTATTTACAGTCCACAAAGGTGTGACGTTTTGATCTAGACCTTTAAAAAAAAAAAAAAAAATAGTCCAGAAGGCTTTTAAGATGAGCCCTTATGGTCTCATTTTATGAATTGGGATTCCAGGACATGCCCCATAGATACACATTTGGTTTTAAATTTTACATAACATGAATTATCATACACAATGAAATTCTATTATATACATACATGACTAACCATAACCCTATGACATTAAGCAGTAAAAAAATAATAGTAATACAAATATCTGTGACTTTCACTAAATTATATTTGCGTATGTGCATTAGGGCCCGCACTCAACCTAGCAATTTACCCAGTCAAATGTTATATACGGTCTTAAAAATGTGACTATTGGTTTGGCTCAAATTACAAAACCACAATCTGCTTATATATTTACATGCAGCATACCCTCATTTATACATAATAAAGGAAGCATGGCTGTTCCTTAACATGTCTGCCATATTCTATGGTCCTTGTCATGGAGGACAGACCACAGGCTTCCAGGTCACAGATAAGGAAACCTAATATCCTTGTCACATTTAACGTTTTCTGTGGCACAGTGGCATGGAGAATGCTAGAATAAATGCCTTGTGGGTAATAGAGGAATGGAGGCGAGGTGTGGTTGCCCTAACAGCAGTCAATGTTTAATAACAATATCTCAATGTAGTGATGGGTGAAACCAACAGGCTAAGAGGAACACTTGCCCAGACGCAGAACGTATTACTCACTCAGCCACTGTGTTGTTCTTTTCACTACAATTCTGCTAACGAAATCTAAAACTGATATATTTTGTGTTTAACTTTTGTTGTGATACAGTCTTAACATAAATATTTAAACCTTTATTCTAGGTGGTTCAGTCAAACCTACATCAAATGCAACAATTGAAAAGATTCAATTCATCTTGTCATGTTGTTGAGGCTGCTGTCTGTGTTAATGATTTGATGATTTTTATTACTTTTAGGAGATATTGTTGCAGATGGTACTAAGCAGCTATGCACTCCTAAGAAGTTAAAAGATGATGAACAGATAGTCATTATTGATGTGGAAAAGAAGGAAGACATTGCTCCAGATGAGGGTCCTTCTGTGGAGGTGAAGGAAGAGGTTGTGAAAGAGGAGAGCGAAGAGAAACCATGCCAGGAAAACCTAAATGAGATCATAGCAGACACTAAATCCCCTGGAGATAAATATTCACCCAAAGTGAGTACAATTGGTACTATTTTTCTATTTTAGTGTAAGAGCTTGCATTACACTAAGATAAATGTAAAACATGAATTACATTCTCTTTGTGTATATTGTAGGAGCTGCTTGCACTGCTTAAGTGTGTCGAGGCTGACATAGCTAATTATGAGGTGTACCTGAAGGAGGAAGTTGAAAAACGAAAGAAATACAAAGTTTGTACCTTTCTCATAAGTAAATCTAATCATGTGAAACATTATCACATGTTTATGTTTTATTTACTTTATGTTTTATTATAGATTGATGACCAGAGGAGAACTCATAATTATGATGAATTTATCTGCACCTTTATATCAATGCTAGCCCAAGAAGGTAAGAACTTCTCTTCTATATAGTTTGTTTTAAATTGATAATATTTAGCTAAGCTTTTCTAAGTTCTAGCACAAACGTGACAATTTTTTTGTAATTCTATTCTCTATTCCGCTCTTTAAAATGTGCTCTTATCCTGATCTTTGTTCATAGGAATGTTGGCTAGCCTTGTGGAGCAGAATATCTCTGTGCGTCGTCGTCAAGGTGTGAGCATTGGACGTTTGCACAAACAAAGAAAACCTGACCGAAGGAAACGCTCTCGCCCATACAAAGCCAAAAGACAGTAGTATTACAAATTGGTTGGATCTGTTGCAAATGTACATCTAACAGCTTTATAGCACAGTCCACATATGAAATAATGTAGTACTTGGTGAGTTCTTGTCATTTTGAGTTCAAAGGAGCTTAAACATGGGTACATCATAATTACATTGTTATTAAAGTTAACTGTTTTTATGTAAGGTAAAACTATTCCCTGGTGCCAATGAAAGACGTGTTGGTAAATGTGTCCTTCGCTTCTGGTTTATGATTATACTATTGTGAATGATGTGTTATCCACTGTTTTTAAAGCTATTTAGCATCATTCTGTTGTTCAATTGAAGTCCTGTTGATATCAGGCAGGTGTCAAACAGTTGTCAACAAACGTTGTCATTGTTGTGAATTTTCACTGTACAGTTGTACGTTTGTAAATATGTATATCTGTTTTCAAGCTCAGTTGTGTTTATGTCATTTCATGCATTTTTGTTAACTTTATAAAGCAAGTTTCTACATATTATAAATCTGATGGGGACTTCCTGGTTAAATAAATAAGTATTCAACCTTGCGTTTGATGCATCTGACAACTTGGTTTGTGCGTTATCATTGTGAATGCATTCATTAGTCACGCCTTCTGTACGCTAGAGAGAGCGAGCAATTCGTATTAAGCAAGATCTTGAATTCAGATTGAGATCAACCATACTGGATTATATAAACAAACAGGCCATTCGGTTCGTATATTCAGGGCAACGTTTACGTTCGCGATACTAAGCAATCGCGGTGGCAATGGAAACGAATACAATGAAAAATGTTGTTGCTGCAGCCGATTCGACAAACAAATGAAGACGAGTAGAGTCCCAGTGGTCTTCTCCAGTCAGGTGTCAAAAGGAGCTTGGAGTGTTGGTTCTTGACTAACAATAAACTGGGCTCTGTGAACGCGCACGCACTGTTCCCACCCTTTGCGTCTGCGCGCTCCTTCAGCCTCTCCAGTGCGCGTGCTCTGTGCGGGATGCTGAATTGTACGCGATGATGGCGGAAGGGGAGAAACGCTGAGTGTCATCTGAGTTTTTATAGCCACCGCTCAACCATCTCCGACACCATCTCTCTGCGTCGAGGAGCGTCCCGACACGATGGGGAACGAGGCGAGCATGGAGGGGGAGGCTCAAGCGGGGCAGGCCGGTGGCGCGGTGCCTTCTCCGGGGGCTCCGGCTTCCATTTCAGCACCAGCGGACTGTGGACAGCTCACCAAGCCCAGTAACGGAGCGCCAGCTGGAGGAAGTGGGGCTGCAACCGGCCCGGGGATTAACAGGTAGCTCTGTTTTTGCTCTTGACAAACTGAATATGTTTGTGCACGGACAGCTGTAGTGCGTTTGGAGGCTCGCCTCGCTGCGTGGAGATAGTCTTGAATAGGTGCTTAATTATTTATTTCAATACCCCTGTCAACACAATTTTCGCAATTTCTGACACCATTAATGCGTTAAGGAATCAACTACCGCCCATTCCTAACCTGTCGAAGTTTCTGTCAAATACATTACGCGGTGGAATATGAGAAATACGAGCCGACGTTGTGAACGGTTCTGTGGATTTCCACGTTTGTTTCTGTGTGTGCGCAAAGGTAGAATCCAAAGCATGAATGGACATGATGCACTCCTTTACTCGGCTGGTGAGGATGTAGCTTATCAGGGGCTGTCTGCTGGTAGAGGTTGCACGCATTTCACAATCTTATGTCCTTGTATTTCATCATTATTCCTGTGATTGTATGAAAGACCTTTCAGAGTGAACACGTTTGCTGCTGATGTCTTTGCGCATCCACGATTACATGCACTCACTGTGTATGGTGAGAACTTCCACCATAGCTCTTTTTAGATTCAAATTAATAGAGGCCTGTTGTCTTCTGGTAAACAAATTCCATCAATTACATGTTAATACTGTAGGCTGTGTACGAATAGTGTTTCAACAATCTGAGACTGTGTGAGAATAGCATCCACAAACGCTGCATCTTTACCACACCTGAGGTTTGCTGCACGTTCCTCTTCCATCCAGTAAGATCATGCAATTCTATAGCTTCAATGCGACTGCAAAGATCCATCTATGGTAATCTTAAAATAAATCAATTATCAGCACTGTAAATCTATCTTATTTAGGGCAGCATCTTTCACAGTGTCCATCATGTGGCCTATATTGAAGATTGTACTCATTAAAAGCCAACCAGCACTTGCTATATTCAATAGAGCACTGAAAGATCTTTTATTTAGAAAGGGGTTGAGCGTATCATTGAGTACAGTGTGGGTCGTGCATGCTCTGGTGAATCAAAATGGCCTGTAATGAATGTGAAAGTGAATGGAAGACTGTCAGTTCTGGCCTCATCTCAGTTTGGAGAAAAATCAACCCTAGAGAGGGCTAGGGCAAATAGTTAAAAAATATTGCCGGGCCTGTGTCTTGTCTGAGCATGTGTGTGTTGTCTTTTCAAATACCATCTGTAGTGTTGTATTGTGTTATTGTACTGTGCAGTATTTTATTGTCATATTTTTTCTGTATTGTTTAGCCATTTTAAGGACCAGTGAAAGTTTTCAGAGAAGACGTCTTCTTTTGATAGAATACAAGTCATTTTTTTCTATATTCTTTTCATAGACTGTATATCTGTATCATTTCCATGGTGGTGAAGAGGCCTCAACTCTGCCATTGTAGCATTTTCAGAATCAGAATCATTTTTTTTGCCACGTAAGTAACGGGAGGTCACAGACTTGGAAATTGCTTTGGCTCAGTGCAACAGTCAGAAAGACTTATTCTTAAAAAAATAAGAATAAAAAACACTTCTAAGGAATACATTTACAAGAAAAATTTTAAATAGAGTTACAATTACTATATACAATACAGTGCACATGGTGCACATAATGTAAGGTGACAGCAGTACAGTGAAGTAAAGTGACGTATGATGGGCAGTAAAGTCAGATTTAGATTCATTTTATTAGCCATGTGCAGTATAAAAACTACACTTTACTACTATAAAGTGACCTTATAAAGGGCAGTAAAGTGACTTTATAAAGAGCAGTAGGGGACTTCTCGAGGGCGGGGAGGTTAAGAAGTGTTCAAGTGTTCAAGAGTCCAACAGCAGAGGGGAAGAAACTGTTCTTGTGGCAGGAGGTTCTAGTCCTGATGGACCGCAGCCTCCTGCCAGAGGGGAGTGGTTGGAATAGTCCATGTGCAGGGTGAGAGGAGTCACCCTGCACATACGACCAGCCCGGCCTCGAGCTCGGGCGACGTACAGGTCCTGCAGCAATGGAAGGCTGAATTGTGCGCATCGTGCAGAGCGCACGATGCGCTGTAGTCTCTGTTTGTCCCTGACTGTGGCTCCAGCGAACCACACGGTGATGGAGGAGGTGAGGATGGACTCGATGATGCCTGTGTAGAACTGCACCAACATCTGTGCAGGCAGCTTGGCTTTCCTGAGCTGCCGCAGGAAGTACATCCTCTGCTGGGCCTTCTTGATGAGGGAGCTGATGGTCGGCTCCCACTTGAGGTCTTGGGTGAAGGTGGTGCCCAGGAAACGATAGGACTCCACAGAGGTGATGGGGGAGTCCATCACGGCGGTGGGGGCGGGGGGACAGTGCTCTTCCTGAAGTCCACACTCATCTCCACTGTCTTCTGGGCGTTCAGCTCCAGGTTGTTACCACGGCACCAGGACACCAGCCGGTCCACCTCCCTCCTGTAGGCGGACTCATCGTTGTTGGAGATAAGTCCAATGAGGAAGGTGTCGTCCGCGAACTTGATCAGCTTCACGGAGTCGTGGCTGGAGGTGCAGTGGTTGGTGTACAGGGAGAAGAGTGGGGAGAAAGAACACAGCCCTGTATTTATAATCCGAGAGGTGAAGGACTTGAGATGGGAGAGGACCAGGCGCTCAAATGACTTCATGACGACAGACGTAAGTGCCACAGGTCTGTAGTCATTGAGTCCTGTGATCCTGGGCTTCTTTGGGACGGGGACGATGATGGAGGATTTGAAGCAGGCCGGGACTTGGCAAGACTGCTGTAGTTAGTAACAGATTTTTAGTTTACCTGTTTTTAATTGATTTATAGTTTGGAGTAAACAGATTAGAGGCTTTGTTTTAATATTTTTTCAAGTTGCGTCACATTTAAAGACAAAGACAGGCACTGTTTTTTCAACAGTATTACTGTGTATGATTTAGGGTGCTGTTTTGTAGTATAAATCTTAATGTATGTAACTATAGAAAATGGTTGTACTATCCGTTTTCAATGATGATCTATCTCATGAATGTGTACAGTGACTAACAGCCTATTATATTAATCTCCTACAAGAAAAAGCATCAAGAGCACAACACATGCAAACAAAATATATATATCTGCGTTAGCCAAACGGCATTCTTTATTTATAGCCCGACATAACGGATGTATAGTCAATGGACACAGTGAAGAACAGCTGTTAAATACATATTTTTTTAGATACTATTCTTTTAGTGTGGACGATAGATGTGAAAGTGCATCACAGTTACAGATGTTTTGGAGATAAAGCCTAAGGAGCCAGATTGATGCTTTGGACATGTACAGAGCAGGGATTGTAAATATGCTGCAAGGTAGGGGAAGCCCAAAGAGGATATTTATGGATGTAGTGAAAGTAGACTTTAATCCTAAGAGGAGAGGCTGTAAGATGCTGTTATAGATTACTATTTTATTACTTTGAGGTATAGCATAGTCATACATTTCACACATCCAGTTGTAGTTTGTCGTAATGTCTTTGTAACAAATGTTTTATTAATTTCAAGCATATATTAAAATGCAGCTTTAGAATCATAAATCAGTAAAACAGGGAGACAAAAGTATGCTGAGCCTGTCACATTTTAAAAGATCTGATGATTTGAGTTCCCTAAAGCTCATTAAAGTTACTTTAATCGTCTTCTGGTTCTGGTTCATCAGAATTGATAAAGCAATGTCTAACTTGCAAATCAGAGGCAAATTAAATAAACTATTGATAATTTTTTGAAGAAAAAATTTGGTGGTGGTGCTCTGTATCTTATTGGATTTTAATATATTTAAAACAACCTGTTTCTTGACGGCAGCATCACCCGCTTGTCTCCTTATGGATCAGTGTTTTTTTCCCTTCTTTTTCTTGTTTTAGAAGTTTCACTTGCTTTTATGGCATTTGGCATATTCATCTGTAGTTTTTGTAATCGTTTTCAACATTTTCACTCAGCTTAATTTTTTTTATTTTGCTTGACATGATTGCTTTTGTACCATAATCATCAATTTAAATTACATCAATCGTAGGACACTGTTCCTATAATTGAGTGGTTCTATCACTGTTGTTAATTTTATCATTAAACGTTACAACATTTTGAGTGCTAGCTTCACAGCTCTTAACCCTGTGTCAGCTTGGGCCTGACTTGGGTCAGCTTCATCAGGCGCTCTGGTTTCAGCCACCACACAAAAAAATTCACTTTTTTATGCACTTTATATGCACTCCAGTAGTCCTGACTAAGCCAAGTATCAATATGTGGAGACTGGTAGTGACCCCTGCTCCTGACAGAGACCCTATTGGCATTGAAGGAGGGGTCAAATGCAGAGGACATTCCAATCTGCTAATTTAGCTTTTGCTTTTCAGATTTTAGGGGAGAAACCAAATAATAATTGCACATATTGGCCACCAGATGCTTAAAACTCTGTACAACTACAGATGTTTTCAGACAACTATAACATTAAGAACAAATGTCACATGTGGAAGCAGGATACAAACCCTGACCTTTAAAACAGAAGCAGCCAGATCACTTTCACTCTGATCCCAGTTTCATTTCCAGTGTACAGCAGTTAAATCAATACACAGAAATGTATAGTATCTCCATAAAAGCCATACATACTGTACATGCATATCAGATCTCTTTTGCACCAAGGGGAACATTTGAAAGGCTGTGGTCACAATCACATGAATTCAGCTCTGCTTTGCATCATTGTGTTCAATGACAAAACTTGAAGTAGCAATGTGTAAGATTTTCATGTCAAGTCATCATTAAATGGCCCTATTATGTGAAAAGGCATTAAGAAACCATGCTGTTTTTGAATACTTCTTTAACTGATAAAAGTTATTAAGCTGAGATATTTGAAGTTCAAAATTAGTTTTACAGCCCGTAAATCTTCTTTTTGTTTTCATCTCAATGTTCCGCCCTCCACCGTTTCACCAATCTGAAAGTCCGTGATGCGGGTTGCCAGAACTCACTGTGTCAAGCTAATCTCACTGGTAAAGTAACATGTGGCCACAGTATGGAAAAAGGTCCCGTTATGATTCTCAATTCATTAACAACAAAACAAGGAATAAAACGAGGATTTATAGATTTGCTTTTGACAAAACTCTACTCAGCTGTAATGGTCCCAGCTGGTTTCATATCTGGCAACCTCATTCAGGGAGAGTGGGAGGGGTTGCAGTACTACTTTTGGCCAGATTTTTACATACTGCTCCTTTAAAGATGATTGTTGAACTGTTTTAAAGATTTATGGCACATTAGCACTTTAATGGTCTTTCTGCAGAAGTCCATAATGAACATTTATCAGGCTACATAAATATTAAGCTAAATTGATTTTTTTTAATGCTATTAACCTTGTTAGAAATTTTTCCCCTCAACAAAAACAGAGCTAGGGTTGTTTTTAGATCCATCCCCGCAAATATAAGGAACTTCTGGCACAAACGTGAAGCTGCCACTTCAGTCAAAAAGTGCAGTTCTGTAATAGCTATAATGTAATATAGTACAATGCGACTATTACATCATGCTCGGAGCAGCATTTGTCCTGAAATCACATTCTATACAATCAAATCTTCAAAATTAAAAAAGAAAAAAAAAAAAATCACCTCCTCCCTCTAGAAGTTACATGCAGAAAGCCTTTTCTACTCTTTATACTTGTTTCACCATTCATTTTTTACTGAAGATAATAAGTCATATTCTATCACAGAAAGAGAAAGTAATTATTATTGTTATTACTTTCTATTATTACTCATAATTATTTGTGTCTTTTGTTTTTGACTAATCATTTACACAACATATATTCATTATATTCATAGTCAATGTTAATACTGTTAATATGTTAAAAATACAAACATTCTGTTAAAGACTTCCTGATGTCACCTCACTTCGCTCTTGCTCTTTATTCACACAAATATTGGGTTAATATTATAACCCACGTGAGAACAGATCAGCTGACCATCGACTGTATCCCATGTCATCCACACTCTGCCTACTCTACAGTAAGTATGTAGTATAGCGACGTTCACAAACCAGAGTTATAAAGCACTTTACAATTGTAGGCATTAATCCTAAGAAAGTATGCATAGGTTCAGGTGCAGCTAGGGCCTCCACGCAGTGAGTCTGGTGAAGTAGGTCAGCCTCTATTGGGCCGCATTCACACCACACTCACCTGGCTGCAGACTGTGGGTCTGAGCTACTCTTAGACCCCCCCTTTGCTCTCTTTTAAAATGCTGTCATGTTGTTATTGTGTACACATATCGCCAAGCCACGCTGCTCTCACTTCGAAAGTTTCCCAATCCAAACTATAGTGCCATTGTGAAAACGCCCTAAGTTTGAAAAGTGTTCTTTCCTTATAGCACATATGAAAGGCGTCTTGTATAGAGTGAAGAAGAGATGCAGGTGTGGAGCAGCTTGAGTTATCTGCAGTGACTCATAATAGCTCCCATGCTCTATTTACATTTGCTAAATTTGTTTCACTTGAGCGCACAGGTGGAAGTGTTTTTAATATCAACACCAAAACCAAAACAAGCCCTTTGTTGAGTTCAGATTGTGTGCAGGTAAATTTGACTAAAATGTTTGTAAATGTTTTCTGATCATTGCTCTTTGTTGAAGACATGGCTGTTTTTTATTCATAGAAGCCAGAACGGCTTCAAAGAATAAAAACAGCCACGAGAAGCACTTCAGAGAAAACTGATAGAGGCTACATAAAATATTCAACATTTGTCTCTGTTAGCCAGCGTTTTGAGAAGTCTGATATAGCACTCTATATGAGCACAAATGTATTCAAAATAAGACTTTTAATTTATCTCTATGCACATATGTGTAATTTGAAAGAGTCCAGAAAGTAAACCTTATTCATCAAGTGCAATGCATTATGTTTAGAAGCTGCATGATGTGTTTGCTGCAGTGGTTAAAGTTAAACCAACAGAACAGCCTTGAACCTTATAATGTTTCATCCTCACAATGTTCACTATACATACATATTACGCTATACTTACCAGCAGCTTCTTCTTTGAGTCGAGTTGAGTCGAGTCGGGTTATTGTTTTTTTCCACCAAGGACATTTTCATGCGTTTTATGGTTTAGTAAAAAGTCCACAATGACTTTGCTGAGGAATATCTCTTTATGATGTGAATCATATGTGAAACACAGTTTGAAATATAGCAAAAACCTATTTTGTAAAACAACTAAAAATGTGAATTGCATTGTACGGACTCATGGTGTATGTGAAGACTTTTTTGTTTGAATGTTGTTACAGATTGAGAAGAAATCTCAGAATAATGAAATGTTGCAAACAGGGACTAAATTGCCAAATGATCCAAATATCTGCAGAGGGTGTTTGAGCTTTAAATGGTCTCTCAGTCTGGTTCAGCATCATAAGGAAGACTGTTGGGGAAGACCAGCCAGTGGTGCAGAAAACCATCCGTGATACCCTCCATAAGGAGAGACACCCTCAAAAGGACATTCGTGGAAAGTGTTTAAGAGAAAAGCTGCAGAAGCCGAATGGAGAAGATTGTCAGGAAAAGATCATTCAATTGTGTGGGGGAGTGCATCAAAACACAGACAGATAGACATGATCAAATGGTATGGAAGACCCGGTCTGTTATCCAAGTTCTCTTTTCTGGTGAGAGGAAATGCTGCATCTCATTCAGAAACCACGGCTGGAGACTGGATGAAGAATGGAGATGCTTACATATTAAGATGCTGGAGGTCCAGCGTGAAGTTTCCGCTATATATCCACTAAATCTATATGTAATTGTATAATTGCAAGAAAAATGTGTGTTTGTAAGAAAAGTTCAATACTTTGTAATGTACCCTTTGTTGGCAATGAGAGAAAGGGTTTCCCATAGGTCTTCACCAGGTTTGTAAACACAAGCTGGTATTTTGGCCCATTCTTCCATGTAGCGTTGAGTTGTGCTATTTTGGGGCTGTCGCTTGGCAATATGGACTTTCAACTCCCTACATTGATTTTCCTATTGGGTTTAGGTCTAGAGACTGGCTAGTCCACTCCAGGACAGAGCCACTCTTTCACTGCCTTGGAGATGTGTACTTGAACGTGTTCATGCTGGAAGACCAGCATTTCATCTTCACCCATATCACTGAAGGGTTTTGCCCAAAATGTTACTGTACATAGCCTGATTCATCCTTCATGAATACTAACCAGTTGTCCGATCCCCTTTGTAGAAAGGCAGGCCAAAAATCATATTTCCACCCTCATGCTTCTCAGTGGGTATTGTGTTCTTGGGATGCAGCACCCAAAAAGGCTTAAGCCAGCATATGTCCAGGTCCATCTCCAGTGACCATCTTGATGATCCAGAAAAGGCCTGGGAGAACATCACGTTGTTAGATAACCAAAATAGAATTTTAGGTATAGAAAATATTATTTAAGAAAGAACACTGAGTTGCATTCAAAGCTAACCTCATAGTGAAAGATCCTTTAGTGTATTATGGTGGATTTCTGTTTCTGTTAACACTTTCCCAGCTTCTGCTGAAACAATTTATTATATTCTAATGATGTATGAGCAAAGTATTTTCTAAATTAATGTTAATCATTTGTCTACCTTAGCTGTGTAATTACTAATTCTTATTACCCCTTTTCTTTATCTTTACAGAGCTCCACCGTCTGATCCTGGGCAGAAAACTGTTGTCCAAACTGAACACCAGGGGACAGGAGACAGACTGGCCTCACATGGGACAGACCAGAAGTCCCGGATGACACTGCAGGTGGACTCCACCGGCAGCAGGACGGGGAGATCTCCCTCGGTGTCTCCTGATCGCAGCGCCCCCTCCTCCCCCTACTCTGTTCCTCAAATTGCTCCCATGCCCAGCAGCAAACTGTGCCCTGTTTGCAAAACCACAGATCTAATGGGCAATGGGGACAACAAGCCCAGCGCCAACACCTGCACCCAGTGTCGCTCCCTGGTGTGCAGCCAGTGTGGCTTCAACCCCAACCCACACCTGACAGAGGTAAACAGCATTACATCTATACTCAATGGGCAAGTCAATAACATTGTTGGATAATACTTTTTGGAACTGGAATTCAAACCCAGGACATTCTTGCAACAGTGCTAACCACTCTGCCACCATGTACTTTGTCCAGTTAAAGTAAACCAGACCAAATAAGTCTCCATAAACAATGATAAAAGCCCAACACAATTATATTGTATCATACCACATCATACCACAGTATTATATCTAAATTAAATACTACTACTACAGTAGATAGAGATTACAAAAAACAAAAAACATTTGGACATTTGTGAAAATATTTATACATATTTTATGTGCATATATTTTAAAATGTGCATTTCAGCAATACAAGAACAATCCTTAATATTTGATACGTCCTTCCTGCCAAATACAAAATGACCCATAATTGGAAACTGGCAGAACAGCAAATCTTCACATATTCAGCCCAAATATTCATTGATATTCACTATCTCCCAGGTGTAGTGTGCAACTCTTTGGTAATAGACTGGAATGACAGTATTTTTTCATATGTAATTTCAAAATCATTTGGAGAGCGATTCAAAGTCTACTGCATACAACATTTTAACATTCCTAGTATACCACATAGGTCCAGAGATTTGTATTTGTATATATTTTTTGACTGGCACAGTACATGTCAATTAACATACATGAGATTTGAATGTGAAATGTTGAAATGTGTGCTGTCGGGAAGGTTCTTACAAGTTTGTAAGAACGCGGAATGAAGATGGATATTTCTTAAGCATGTTGGTCATTTGAAAGAGTAGAAAGCCCATCTATGAATATCTGGATCCGTTTTATTTCTTAGCTGTTTGGCAATATATATATTAGGGCTGTCAAAACTATCGCAAAAACGCACGTTGATTACATTTTTCCTTAATCTCGTAAAATATTTTTTTACTTGTTTAACGCATGTCTGAATGACCCGCCCATGTATCCCATAATATCACTCAGGATGCCGCAGACACACGCGCATGTGAGATGGTGACAGAGCAGGTTTCCGGGAATTCAAGTTTTAAAAGAATACACGCATGACCGCGGGGCACTTGTTGTTGTTTGCTGTATAAACTGAAGTCTGCATCCTCCGTGGCCACAGCGTTTTGACCATAGACTGTATATATTAATGGACAGAGTCACGCCTATCTCCGGCGTTCTAACTAATGGGCCAAAAAATGTGCTCTACTGGAGCAATCCAAAATGGCCGCGAGTGGCCCCGCCCACAAGAAAATTGTGAAAAAACGCATCTGCGCATGCGTCAGCCGGCGCAACTCCATTCATTTGAACGAGAGACTTCAAAAATTCACAGCAAGTAAACTAGAGTGGACCAAAAAAATCCACCCCCCTCAGCATTGACACACATGTGGAACGGAGCTTTGGGCCGAGAGCCAACTTTTGGTCCATCCTGTAAAGACGTTTTTGAGAGGTCTGCCAATACTATATGTCAGCATTGGCTAATTCTACTTCTGGGTCCACCCCCATCGGCCCGGGGTGGTATTGCAAGCATGTCAGCGCATGTCATTTTTGCCACTTTTGAGCTGGGACCCGCCCCCACTGGTTTTGACCCGGGGTAGCTGCGGCCGTTCTGGACAGCGGTTCCCACCTCCAGTGGCTCCCACCTCCAGCGGCTGTGAGCCGCTAACAACAACACGGCGAATGGCGCCGCGGTAACGTGGTTATATCCAAGACCATACACGCACAGAACTATACTCTGCATGTTGTGTGCATGTCTTTGCGTAACCTGTGCACACATACATACTGAACTATGGAGCCTCAGTGTCTGTGTCTCCTCCTGAAACACAACTGAACTCGCTAAATTAAAGCTGGGGTACGTACATTTTCCCTTTCATTAACAGCTCATGGTATGGTATTTGGTATGAATGACAATGTGTCATTGAATTTGATACATTACGTTTGACAGCCCTAATACATACTGTATATATATATATATATATATATATATATATATATATATATATATATATATATATATATATATATGTATATATTTATATATATATATATATATTTTTTTTTGTGTGTTTATGCTTACATCATTTAAGATAAGATAATATAGACTTATTGATCTCACACAGGACAAATGTACAATTAAATACTGAAATGGATCTAATTGGCTGACCTCTTGGACAGGCCCCCCTTGACTCAGCCACAAGAAGGCAGGAAAAATGTTCAATATGTAGCCAATTGTCTCAGTCAAACACACCTTATCATTGGATCCTGATCTGTTGTTACATCATATTGCAGCAGACACACTTCCAATACGATTTTGAGTCATCAACAGTTGAGCTCCACTGCAATTACCGGGCCCACAAATAAATTCTTCTTGAATGAATAAAGCCCTTCATTGTACAAATTAAACCACTATAGTAATAATAATGAACTAAATGAGGCATACTTACCTTTCTCAGGCCATGATATAGATAATAGCCATTTGACCTGGTGGAAATGTGTATTCAGAGAAAGCCTGCAGTGGCGTTAGCAGACAGTCTTTACTAAACAAAGACTGGACCATGTAGGAAAAGAACCAGTGTCTATATTGTAACAGTTTCCTTTGTGCCAAACGTAAATGTGCATGTTGCATATGTGTTATGTGTTTTATAAAGCCAGCATAGAAAGAGGATGGAAATGGCCCCACTGTCCAAATCCGCCAAATCGTCTTATACCTGTCAGGCAGAGAACGCTGAATCCATCGTATTTTTGATGTATTCCATTAGGAATAGATAGAAAGCTGCATTATTTCTGCATTTGTATAGATACCACCTTAAGACGTTCTAGGCGGCACGCTGATGGAGTGGTTAGCGCTTGTGCTTCACAGCAAGAATGTCCTGGGTTCGTGTCCACCTCCAGACCTTTCTGTGTGGAGTTTGCATGTTCTCCCCGTGTCTGTGTAGGTTTCCTCTGGGTGTTCCAGTTTCTCCTATCACCAAAAACGTGTACAATAGGTATTAATGTAATGAGTGAGTGAATGGGTGGTGTTGGTCGGGGGCTTTGATGGTCCAGTGCGTTCGGCGTCTCGCTTATGTCATCACCTTATGTGGAGAGAATGGAACAATATCTGAATTCTGAACATTGCAAAGCGCTTTTTGGGTGACCTTGATCTGTAAAATGCTCTATATAAATAAACAGTACCTACTTACTTATTGACTTACAGTACTTACTTACTTGGGGCAGTAAATGTGTGTTCTGTATGAAGTCAGTCTGTGTAAGACTGTTCATTTTTTAAATTTATATTCCATCTTGTCTCCTACATTCAATTACTACTTTGCATCTAAATATATAAATAGTCACATTTAAAAGGTAGCAGAGAAGGCTTTACTGAAATACATATCAGGTCTCATTAGAATAAGGCTCTGCTTCACTGTGACTGTCAAGTGGGGCAATGTCATCTGTCACAAAGTTCCACATCAAGTTTGGTGAGTCATGGTGTAAATCGCAGCTGGGATGGCATTTTAGTAAAGCTGCCTGAGAGAAATACCTATAAAGAAGAAATCAGTGGATCAGGATTCAGTTATATTCTTTGACATGTGGAACAGAAGTTTTTTTTTGAGTTTTACAGATTTTCATTTTTGTTTATATCCTGGAGCTGTGAATTTATGTGTTTGTGTGTTTTTTTAATTGTGAAAAGGGCTGCATTTCTTGCATTGATGAGAAATTCAGATAGAACATTTATTAAACAATACTGTTATCAATCAAAAGAACATTCAAACTTTGTTTATAAACAGGGGTGCACTATAATAATAATAATAATAATAATACATCAGTTTTATATAGCGCTTTTCAAGAACTCAAAGACGCTTCACAAATTCATGACACAAACACACACGTTTAGACAGACACACAAACTAAAAATCTAAGAGTGAGGAAGAAGGGTAGAGAGTTTAAGCTAAGAGTCAAATGCTCGGAGGAAAAGGTGAGTTATATATATAACTCACTATAACTTTTTCAGTGAGGGAATCAGATGAGTACCAGGAGATGGTGTTTGGTACTCACTCCATTTGTCGCGTGGTTCTTAATCGAGATTTTATACTTGCTTCTTTTTAATGCTAAAGTTTAGGTTAGCTCAGATAAACCACTCAATCCAAGTCAAATAAGGACTCACAGGGCTCTTTCTTAAAAATGTAAAAAAAAAAAAAAAAAAAAAAAAAATTCTAAACAATGGGCCTCATTCACGAACGGTTCTTAGGAACAGATTTGTACGTAAATCCTACTTACGCGTTTTTTACGAAGAAAGTGGCATTCACGAATTTTTCTCGTAACCAGAATTTCTCTTGGGCAAGTACAAATCCTACGAGTCCTCAGGAGCACTCGTACGCATTCAGTGCCGACATGTTCACACGCCGGGGTTGTCCTCTTTGGTTAAGTTGAATAAAAATACAACATTCCAGTGATATGTCCGTCATATCGATGTATGTATTTATTTATTTGTAGTAATCTTTATTAGTAATCTTTATTTATATACCGCCTTTTTCACTGCAGATCTGGCCTACTTTTTAATTCATTTTGAAATTAAATGTGCCAACGCTTTATCAAATACATTGGAAATCTTGCCGTGTATTAGTGACCCCTTCCTATTTATAGGGGGCATTTCTTTATCCACGGGCCACAGAACAACGGCATATATACTGCTGCTGCAGGAGGTTACTGGGTCCGCGCTGAGTCTCTGCGCTGGTCTCTCCTATGGATCTATACGGGTCTGCACTGGTCTCTCCATATACGGGTCTGCACTGGTCTCTCCCATGGATCTATATCTGGTCTGCACTGGTCTCTCCCATGGATCTAGACGGGTCTGCACTGGTCTCTCCCATATACGGGTCTGCACTGGTCTCTCTCCATACGGGTCCGTGCTGCATGCTCCTGGATCCATACGGGTCCGCGCTGGTCTCTCAAGTCTGGTCTATGCGGTCTATCTTCGGTCCGCGCTGGTCTCTGCGCACCGGTCTCTCCAGTCAGGTCACTCCAGT